TGCGATAATCGGACGTACGGAGTTCGGAACTCGGAGACGGAGTTCGGGATCGGGGTTCGGCGCACGGGATGTAACATCAACACGGTGCTAGACCCCATTGCCCATCGCATGTATGGCATGTACGTCTGACTTGCGTCTGCGTGTTCGTGCCCTGCTGATTCTTTGCCCGCCGTGGACTAGGTGCAACACTACGGGCCCGCAGGAAGCGGAGGAATAGTCTTGTCTACCTCCATCGGTCCGAGGACAAGTCCTATGCCGCGTATGGGTATGGGCCCCACAGCCTCCGTGCGCATGCAGAGTCTTTGAAGTCGACCTAGGAGGTTACTAGCAGCAACACGATTTCACGTGTGCGACATGACGCTGTTGTCATCTGTATGCTGATTACTGAACGTCAGCGATGCGAAGTGGAATCAGTCATGTTAAGCCCCTCCGATAAAACCCAAAACGATTCCCGATGTGTGTGTTTCCTACACATCCAGGTGTTCCCTCTGAGGACGTACTACACGCCCCGAGTTTACAGCCGGTAATTGCCAGCTTCAACGCACAAAGGACCGTCGTCGATGAACGCGAGTCAGAGATGCGGGGAGCAGCTTACCAATGCTCACATCACACTGCGCGCGGACTCACAGATCATGCGGATGTGACACACGCGTGTCCCATTGTTCTCCCCTTGTGCGCGACGGCCGAACTCCGCGATCCTCTCTTAGCCACCACCTTGACGCCCGCCATGATATTTATCATTACTCGTCTTGCTGAGGGCTCCCCATTCTCTCGACATCCAACCACCACCATCCCTCCTACGCAGCATGATGATGCCTCCCCACAAGAAACAGCGTATCGACGCCGGAAAATCGGACGCGGACCTATTGGCCCTAGTGTCCCGTCCTACGACCAAGGCAGCGATCGAGGCCGCCAGTGAAGCACTGTCCGTCGCCGAAACTAGAAGATTGAAGAAAATCTCTCGCCGAGGTCGCCTCCAATCTCTCCCGGATCTCTCACTGGACGTCCAACTCGAGGCAAGTGCGCGCGATCTAGCAGGCGGGTAGATATTGACGCATGAATTCCCTGCCAGATATGCAACTACTTGGATCTCAAAGATTTGCTCAATCTGGGGCGCACGTCCAAGAACTTTCGCGCCTTCTTGCTTGACAAGGCGAACGAGAGGAAGCTGTGGGTGCCCGCGCTTGCGAACACGCCCGGCATCCCCGTTCGGCCCCCTTTTATGAGCATGCCCGCGTTCGCTCACCTGCTCTACTCTCCGCATTGTCACGTAAGCCATCCGCTCGATCACACCCGCGCAGTATGCTGAGCCATTTACAGAACTGCGGGGAATCGAAGGTTCGGGACATCGTATATAACTGTTTCACTCGTTTGTGCTGGGATTGCTTCTGTTCAACGTAATCCGGTGAATTATTTGTGTACACAAGGACATACCTAACAGACATCACGCTACAGGACCACGCGGCCTGACTGGGCTGCATCCGACGCAGATATGATCGACAGCAGCGGCACGCTCTCCCGTGTCATTTTCGACAATGGCAATCGCGAGCTGTACCGCTTTCGGGACGACTTCGTCGACCGCGTTTTCAAGGAATTCGCGGCTCTACCGACCCCTGTGACGTTGGAGGCTGTGGCTGCGTTGGCAGAGAAAGCAAGAGCAACGCACAGGGCCGCGCTGCCGGTATGTCCTCTTCAAGGGCTCCTGCAGTGTGCGTTACTGACAATGTATTCTGCCTAGTAGTACGCTCATGATCTGCACGTCTGGATGAAAGCTCAAGAAAAGGAGAGATTGGCAGGCATAGAAGCTATCAGGAAACGGCGTTACGAAGCGTACGTCTTCTTTGCATGTAGAAGCGTGGTCTGGCTTCGCCGCGCTGACTATAACCTTGTACTACAGCATTATTTCCAGACTGCAAGAGGCGGGCTGGAAGACGGAGATCGATCTGATGGACGCTAGGAAACTGCATGTCCTTTCACAGTTGCCCGACGTTCGGCCGGCATCGAAGTTGACCAACAGAGGCAAGCATTGCGCACTATCCCTTCCTGTACGCATTTGTGCTGACGTACCGGATGCATGGCAGCATGGCCGAAAGCGAAGATCGCACTGGACGAGTACATGAAAGGCGTGCAAGAAAGGCGTCTAGACTGGGAATACCGGATCCTGCTCAAGACACGCATCGACGCCCTCGAGAAGGCTCTGGTCGCGCACTACGTGACCCTGCCACGCACCGCCAGAATGGACTATCGACCACAGTACATTGACCTTGCGCTCACGCCCGAGTGCCGCGCAATCCTCGACATGCCCGCGTCGGAAACGGTCATAGTCGAACAGTTCGCCGTCATCATCCCTGCGCTCGCGCAGAAGTGGGATGCGGACTGCAGGAAGGCGCTCACGGACTACCTCCTTCCGTACCTCGGCGACATTCCTGTGGACGTGGACCCGCTCGGTCTAGCGATATCGTTCTTCAGCTGCGGCCCTTCAATGCCGTTCAGGAATTTCTGGAACCTGCGGTATCCCACGGCTTTCAAGCACCGCTGTTTTCACGGTGACTGTTTCCGACGCCCAAGACGGTACACCATCAGAATGTTCTTTGAGGACCACGTATACACCCGCACGGTGAAGTCCCTGCACTGGACTGAATATGAACTTGAACGACAACTCGAGTCGAAGCCTTATGACGACCTCCATATCTACGTCCCGTGGTACCTCAGGACGACAGCGGATCACGACAGAGCCTGTACGGTGGTGGACATAATGCGGCGGATCGTCTCTGCGTCGGGGCTCGATCCGGTGCGGGCAACATTCGAAGACTTAGTGCAGAGCGATGTATGGCTGCGATGCGCAACGTGCGAGACGAAACACCCGTATAACGAGATCTTTGCAAGGTCATGGAAAGGCGCGGTGAGTCAATTCCAGCGTCTCGGTATGTGCGAAAGTCTGAGCTGAATACGGATACCGACGTTCCGCTCTATAGTATATGCATGAGCGGGAACATGTCACGACCGGACGCCCAAGCACGAGGATGGTTCCTGAATGGAAACAAGCCGACGACGACGATATGATCAAGGTGCGCGCATTCAAAGAGGCGGAATCATGGGATGCGGATTTCGGCTTTGATGGATGGGCGTGCTCGCTCTGCCCCACCTTCAATGCGACCGTGGAAGCGATGACAACTCATTTGGAAACGATGTGAGTCATGTTGAGCAGTTCTTACGTGCGAAGAGTCCTACTAATACGGCGTATGTTATCGTTCGAATAGGCATGCCATCCCAGATATATACCAGGCAAGGCGGGATGGGGTCGTCTATCACCCGCAGGTCGACAGGTCTTTCGTATACGCAGATTCGGTCTCCCTTGGCAAAAGCATCTCGCCAGAGGCCATCCAAGACAGTGGCACACATTGAAATGCGCGGTCATTGATATAGGATTCGGTTGGGTGGTGTATGCCCTGACTGGTCGACCGCCCGTTCGGTGTTCCTCACGCTTAGTTCTACCGTTTACTTATGTATATCTTATGACACACATTATATAAGAGACACGAACGTGCCCTGACCAGGTCATCCCGAGGATTTGAATGTGGAGTTGCTATATATGCTCAAATCAACAGTACTAGTGTAAGTTGAGATCGGTGAGAGCAGAAGCGGGGCCTCTATAAAAGCCCACGCGGGAAGTCACAGAGCATGCGGATGTGACGCATCGCGCCTGGCATTGTGCGCAACGGTCGATCTCCCCGACAGATCTCTCGGCTTAGCCACCACATTTAACGCCCGTTATATTTCCCTCTGTTCGTCAGTCGCGAGACTTTCTTTCATCCAAACCACCATCATCTTCGCTCGAAAAGACCTCACCATGCCCCCTCGCAAGAAGCAGAAGACGAACACCGCTGGGCAGACCGCTCCTCGTCGCACAACCAGAGCAGCAACGAAAGCCGACAGCACTACTCAAGCAGCAGCAGCAGCGGCCGGCAAAAACGCGTCTCCTGCCGTTACAGGTGGATCAAAGTCTAATACAACCGCCCCAGATTCGTCGAAGCGGATTTTTTTCAAGGGCCGTCTACAAGCTCTTCCTGACTTACCCTTGGAAGTCCAGTTCGAGGTAGGCACCACCCGACTACAGCTCTTGGTCAACGATTGACGCACAGTTTCCCTTTCAGATATACAATCAACTCGATTTGGCAGACCTGCACAACTTGTCGCGCACTTGCAAGAAGTTCCATGCCTTCTTTCTGGACAAGAAGCTCGAGCAGCGGCTGTGGGTGCTGGCGCGGGCGAACACGCCCAACATTCCTGATCGGCCCCCTTGGATGAGCGAGCCAGCGTTCGTTCATCTTTTGTACTCTCCAAACTGCCACGTACGTTATCCGTTCCGTCTTGATCAACCAGTATACTAAGGAATTTGCAGAACTGCGGGACCTCGAACATCCGCAAGATCATATTTGGCTGCTTCATTCGTCTTTGCGCATCCTGTCTGATGGAAAGGTAGGACGCTTCCCTCCTCGCACATGTGAGGATATACCTGAAGGATGCTTCGTAGGACTATCAATCATCAAGACGCTGAGGTCGAAGCGTGTAAGATTGACAAGGGCTGGGCTTTGCGGAGCTTGTTCTCCCATAGCTCCTATACCGCAATCTTCCATGTACAACGGCGTTCTACGTAAGTCACACGAGGCCTTTATGATCACATAACTCATGCAACACGTCTTCCCTCTCCAGCGCCCGCTACCGTGATCGAAAATTCAATCGCCTGTTGAAGGACGACGTGACCCGCGCCTTAGAACGATACAAGGCACTGCCCGGTCATCTAAGGAATGACACCAACACGTTGTTCTTTCAAATGAAGGCGGAAACAACTGCCCGTCTGCCGGTGCGTCCCCTTCAGTGAACCATATGACTTGCTTATGACACTGAAATCTTGTGGTGTCAGTACGCCAACGCTATTCACTTCTGGCTGGAACATCACGAGGAAGAGAGGAAGGCACATCTCGGGGATGCTAGGAAACAACGATTCGATGCGTACGTCCGTGCTAACACTCAGCGGTTACGTGTTCGCCCTCACGATGGCTTTTTGAAGTATCCTTGTCAGATTGCGAGACTCCGACTGGAAAAAGGAATTGGAGTCCCTGGGCGACGAGGGCGTGGAGGCTTTGGCCAATCTGCCCCTTATCCGCCTGTCAACCAAACTGACTGAAGGATGTAAGGACCATCTCTGGTATCGCGCTCGCTTGCGTACTTACTGGATCTCCTCCAGCGTGGAAGAAGGTTCTCACCGCCCTCGACGGCTTCCTCAACGAGACCCGGGAGAAACGGCTCGACAAGGAGCTCCGCGCCGCGCTCATCGCGCGCTTCGAGTTACTCGAGCAGGCTATCCAAGCGCACTACGTGACGCTCCCGCGGACCGCCAAGATGGACTGCCGGCCACGATATATCGACTTCGCTTTCACGCCGGAGTGTCGCGCGATCGTGGACGTGCCCACATCAGAGACCGTCACCCTCGACCAGTTCACCGCGGTCATCCCTGCGCTCGCAGAGAAATGGGACACGGACCGCCACAAGGAGCTCCTGGAGTACCTGCGTCCACACCTCGGCGAAGTCGCCCCCGACGTCGACCCGCTGTCGCTCGCAATTGCGGTGTTCATGTTGGAGCGAGGGGTCGTCGAGTCGTTCCGGGGAGTAGGGAGCCCGCGTCGCAAACGCGCGGGGACTTCGATAGCGCTCGGGAGTGTCTATGTACTCTACGATAATCATGTAATCGATGAAGACGGCGCGCACACCGGCTTGAAACCGCCGCTGACCCGCCCTCCCAAAACACATGTTCCAACAGTTCAAGCTCAAGAAGGAGAAGTCGTGCTACATTGACATAGGGCGCATGCGTTACCCCACCATCTTCACACACGACTGTCACTTTAACGACTGCTTCCGCGGGGCAATTCTCCAGAATGCGGAGGTGTTCCATCAAGGGGACACCTACACCCGGACTGTCCACTCCTTAAAGTGGGGTGAGTTTGAGTTTGGCCGGCTCGGGGAGAAGCCAAACTACGCGGTTTTCGTCGATGCCCCATTCTATCTGAACGAGCTAGCCGACCCTTCTAAAGCCGCCTGCGCGATGCAGTGCATGCGTCGTCTTGTGTCTGCGCTCGGGCTGGATCCGGCGCAGGCGACGTTCGACGACTTGGAGCGGAGCGACGTGTGGTTACGCTGTGTAACTTGCGAGACAGCACGCCCGAAGGCCGCCATCTGGGCCATGCCGTGGACGCGCGCAGTAAGTCTGTTCGCTACTGGCGTCTTTCATCCAGTTCACGTTGCTTACACGCCCCCCTGTCAATTCAGTACAGACACGACGAGAGTCATCGTACAGGAGATGTGGAGAGTGCGACTCCCAGGTGGCGACGAGTCGACGACGAGGATATGGAGAGAGTGCGGGTCCTCCGGCTGATCCCGCCCGAACCTGAAACAGGCCTATACGACACGTCGCTATGGTCGTGTTCGCTCTGCCGGGCTTTTGACGCGAAGCGCACCATTATGGCGAAACATGTCGAGGAAAGGTGAGTAATTCCACGTGCATGTAAGTAGTGCTACCACCTTACTAACGTCGTTGTAATAGCCATGATATTGCAGACATAATGCAGGCGGACAAGGATGGGGTGATCTATCTCCATCCGACTATGAGCACATCTGGCCGCCGGTATCGAGAGATGGTTCGACTACGTGAGTGCTTAGATCCGAAGAGTCGGAAGAGGGGCCTCTCGTAGAAGGCCCTGAAGGTGAATTTTTTTTACACGAACGTTGCGTATACAGCACGGTGTAATTCGTCTTCTCCAGGGTAGAGAAGATATTTGTTTCCTTGAAAGATGTGACAACGCCACTGTACTAAAATGATCTCCCTTTGAGTTCGACGTTCTGTGTTTGAGATGCTCGGTCTTTCAGGCTCGATCGCCCTTTTCCTCTGACTCCTTCCCACTTCGACCAGGCCCCGGGAGATATCAACGTTTATTGCCTTGTTGAAGTTGATCCGACTACTAATACCAACGCTTGCGCTCCATTCGTCTACTTCCAACCACCAGCATCTTCCCTCATCTCACGAATTCTATGGTTAGTATCACAACGAATTTCCTGGGCTGCTGCTGACAGACTCCGCGCCAGAACTGTGTACTAGTAAACGTGCACAAGAGAACGATGTCCGCAGTACACGCAGCGCTGCAGAATGCGGACATTTTAGAAGAGATAATCGAGCGCCTTGCGCCAGGAAAGGAGTGCGAATCCAGAGAAGAGCGACGGACTATTGCAGCACTGTGCCGGGTCTCCAAGACACTCCATATCTCCGCCAACAAAGTACTCTGGGCCAGACTCCCGTCACTGTGCCCGCTTCTGCGGTTACTCCCGGAGCTCGATGGATTGTATCAAGCTAATCATGAACACAATCCGCGTTCCGACATAGATGCTGCGGTACGTATACTCATCGCCACTCCCACTAGCACCACTTTCTGACCCAATTTCTCCACCTTCGCACAGCGTCTTACAGAGCCTGTCAGCCCAGAAGCTTGGGCACGCTTCCGCGATCGCGCTGCCGTGGTCCGCACTCTGTCTATGGAGCATCTTTCTTGGAGTCGTTCGCCCATCGCAGACGAGACTTGGTCGTATCTTGCTCGTCTATGCGGTGACGCCTGTCCTCTATTACCCTCCCTGCGAAGGATTGTGGAATGGCAGCCTACTCCGGCGTGCGACGACCTCCGACTCCTGGCGTCTCCTCAACTACAATCGCTGTCTCTTTACAATGTCGGGATTTGGGACCCACATGGAGAAGAAATCCGTTCTCTCGCCCTGACCATGCAACACATGTTCGCAAATGCCCCCGATCTCACCGAGCTAAGGCTGAATAGCTGCAGAAGAGATCTCTTGACACGATTTCCCCCCGAGGCAATACAGCAGCTTAAAACTCTCCAGGTTGAGGTGGAGGAAGTGGGGGATGTTGCTATGGATTGGTATCCGCGCCCGGACGCTCTTCGAGTAGCGGCGAACCTGCCCGCACTCGAACACCTCCTGGTTGAGACCAACACGGGCCCCCATCTCGACTTCACGGGGTTTCACTCCCTGCTTACGCTGCAAATTATCGACTGCGGCAGAGGCGATGACACGACATGGCTCCTCGCGAGGTGCTCTTCGCCCCACCTCCGCGAGCTGACCATCGACTTCACAAACCTGTACGACTTCTTCAACTGGGAGGATATGCACACTCTGTGCTCTACCATTGCGCAATCCACTCCCCAGCTGCGGTGTTTGGACTTCACCCCGGGCATACTCGACTTGCCCGAAGCTCCTGACAACTCGGAGCACGCCGCTGACATACTCCTCACCGTGGTGCACCCGCTGTTCGCTCTCCGCCAGCTCACGGTGCTGACGATATGCTTCGACTTGAGCGAGATCAGCCTTTCGGATGCGGTTTTGGAGGCGTTCGCGGAGGCATGGTCTATGCTCGTGCGTCTTAAGATCTGCTTCATCAAGATCCTGCACATCGACCCTGATGCTCCTCACCTCTACCCCGCCAATATCACTCTGCGTTCCCTTGGCACCTTCTCCGAGCGTTGTCCTCAGCTACAAGTGCTGCACATCCCGCACATTTATGTCCCGCCCAGGATGGACTGCGATACCGCTGGAGGCGATGAACAATCGCAAGGCCGTTGCCTGAAGGAGCTGGTCATCTGCCGCGCGGCCATCGGGGACGTGCAAAGGTGTGCTCAGGTCATACGTCGCGTCTTCCCCCGCCTCGACGCAGTCAAGTCACGCACCTCATTCTTGCGGTCGCACAACGGCCAATGTCTGAACCCCGAGAGTGTTGAAAGAGACGGACCTTGTAACAAAGCATGGCTGGGCGTGCTAGGTTCTTTACAAGAACACTAGACACCTGGCCCGTCGACGGATTTGCTATGTTCCCCGACCTAGGTCGTTACTGGTAGGTTTCTCCAATACGAGCGACATGAACGGACCTATGGCGTACAGAGAGATCGTTATGTATTCAGGCCTATATCATGTTAGCTAGAGCGTGCTGTTTTGTAGAGCTAATTTCGCAGTACCGTTGCTCATGGCGTAGTCGAGGTTCAAGCAGTAGGGGATCGCGAAGCGCCGTAAAAGCTGCGGCGCTATTTATGAGCGCTTAATTCCATCCGGTTCACGGACAAGGCGAATTCGCTCCTCCTCGCCTGCATCTTCTTCTTGCTTTACATCCTCTATAACGACTACTCTCTTGGTTTCTCATTTGATGGGGAAAAGGAAGAACAACATCAGCGGCATCAGCGGCTTGTCTCGCTTTCTCGCTGAGGCAGCAAAATCGGAGTCCTCTGCTGAGTCCAGCACCAAAACTAGTAGTCCCTCGCAGCTCGAGGTGCGACGCTCTGGAACTGTGGCTATCGCGGTTGCGGAATGCGAGACGGAAACAGTGCCGGACGTGCGGCCGGTGAAGAAAGCGAGGCTACAAGCGGGACTCCTGGGCGAAGGTCTGGAGAGGTACGACGCGACGGGCCTCGCGCCGTTTTACACGGAGGCATCTCAGGTCCCTGAACATCTGCAGAAATGTAAGACCTCTGCGACCTCTTAGATGGCTTCAAGTTGACATCCTCCGTTCCAGACTTCTTTCAACGGGAACGTTATTTCTCCATGTACGAGTCCGGGTGCCTGCTCGATGAGGAGGGCTGGTATAGCGTCACGCCAGAGCGCGTTGCAGACCAGATTGCGGAGCGGTGCAGGTGCGGTGTCATCTTGGACGCGTTCTGCGGCGTGGGAGGGAATGCGATCGCGTTTGCGCGCACCTGCGAAAGAGGTACGAGGAACAAACCCTATTCTGCCGTTTTGCACCTGACAGTAGTGGATCCGCCTCCAGTAATTGCGATGGATATATCGCCAGTACGGCTCGCGCTTGCTCGTCATAACGCCGCACTCTACGGTGTGCAAGACCGCATCGAGTTCATTCTGGGAGATTTCCTATCCTTCGCGCGAACACTGCAAAACGGCTCCCAGCGACGTAAGATTGATGTTGTGTTCCTCAGTCCTCCGTGGGGAGGCCCATCGTACATCGCGGGCTCCCCTTCGAAATCACAAGCTGCTGCGTCAACTCCCATTTTGCCGTCATCAGAGGATGCCGAGGGCGTTCATGCAGAGTTCAGCTTGTCGAGCGTCGGTCCAATACACGGCCGCGACCTCTTCCACGTCGCAAGGGGAATAAGCAAGAACATCGCGTACTTTTTACCTCGAAACACAAATCTAGACGAAATCTCGCAGCTCGTGGCAGAGAACTCCGGGGATGGCACCGGCAGTGCGTTCCCGTTGGAAAAGGTCGAGGTGGAGGAGGAATGGATGGGTACGAAGCTGAAGGCGCTCACCTGCTATTTTGGCGGTCTGGTTGCTGGGCAAGAGGCCATGTTCGAGACGTAGCCGCTTCCAGTGGTATCACTCGCATGTGGATATTTGCTAGTAAGCACGTCCGTGCCATATGCGTATGATAATGCTGACTCGCTCATCTCGCTTGTAGCTGTATGTATCGTGCTTCATTGTCTATGTATTGGGTGCCTCTGCATCTTCGGCTTTGCGTACGCCCTTCAAACCTACTGTCTCGGCCTCGCTCATAGATTTGCATGGGTGGGGGTAGGACACTGCGGGCGGCTAATGTGTGGCTAGTGCGGAGTGCTAACCCTTCCCACCATTGTCCCGCAAGTTTAGCCACCTCGGAAACGGCTATAAGGCCCAACGCGCCCAGCGTCTCACTTACTGTTTCTCTTCTGCTCCTTTGCGTCTACTTTCTCTCTTTCGCGCCCATGCCTCCCCGAAAGAAGTTCAAGTCTGGTCACCCCGATGAGATACACGAGGTCTCGAGTCCACTTGATCCTTCCGCGTTAGTTTTGGCCGCCGGACCGGTATTATGGGGAATGCCTGCGGAGATACTTCGACTGGTGCGTCGATGCGACATGCTCTCGTTCCAAAACAGGATGCCCGCTGACACTTACGGACAGATCGCCCTCGAAATGACTCTCGCGGACCTATATCACTTATCGCAGACGTGCAAGGACATGCGTGTCCGTCTTTGGTGCAGGAGCGCAACGTTCATATGGACGGACGTGATAAAGGCGAAGGCGCACGGTTCTTGTGTCCCCCCGCTGCCGCCCTTTCTGAAGGTCCCTGAGTACATGCACTTTTTGCTTTCATCACATTGTTATGTGCGTCCCGTCATGCCTTGTCTATCTGCACAGCATCTCACCTCTCTCATTTCACCTGTATAGAACTGCGGGGCGGCTGGGGCAGATATCTTCTGCCCATACATGGCTCGTGCATGTTCTGTATGCTTGCGAAACGAGTCAGGCGTGTAAGTCCATTTAAATCATCACGACGTCGAGCAAATCTCATGCACCGTAATTGCAGGACCATCTGGTACGGCGATGCTGCTAAGCAGATCCAGTCGCTCAGTCGCGACCTCAGCGACGCCGTTCTCGGACATACGACTCTTTCACAGTATTTCATCGTTCAAGATCCTTCCGAGTGAGTGTAGTGCCACCAGCGCCTCGCCGAGATTGATTCGTAACTCACGGAGTATCTGTGTCACTTCTAGCGACAAGACTGATGAGGAGAAAAACCGGGTCCTTCGGCGCGACGTAGACCTGATGGTCCAACGATTCAAGGAACTCGGCGCACCCGAATCTAAGCAAGGTATAGAAGGTATCACCAACACCCTGAAGGACGTCTGCAGATACCAACTCGATGTAAGGACATGCGCATCCTTTGATATATACTGCTCCTGATGTCCTCTGGCCGTGCAGTGCTCTCGAAGGTACCACGACGCGCTCCGCAAGGCACAACTTAAGGAGGATCGAAGGAAACGCTTCGCCGAGTGCGTCTTTCATCGTTGCCATCTCGTTGTCGCTAATCTTGCTATGTGTTACTAGGACGCTTGTGCGTCTGCGCCAGAATGGCTGGGGCAAGGAGCTGGATTACTTGGGCGCCTACGGCAAATGCGCCATAAGGAACCTCGACTATGTGCGCCATGGTGTGGAACGAAACGGCGAGTGCCCAGTGGAGGATATCCTACTTCCCAGGACGCGCCCGGAACTGCATTATGAAGAACCCCGCGCTGTGCTCCGTTCCCGTATAGTCGCACTCGAGGCAGCTATCGTCGCATACTGCATCCAACTTCCGCGGACCTCGGAGATGGATATCCGTCCGCAGGCGATTGACCTCGTATTCGTGCCCGAGTGTCGCGCCATCTTGGAACTCCCCCACCCAGAAGTCGTCACCCCCGATCACTTCGCTGCCATCATCCCAGGGTTGGTGCAGACGTGGGACATTGAAGTTAGGGAGCAACTGACGCACTACGTTCGCCGGCACATCGGACACGTTCCCTCTGACATCGACCCTCTCAACTTAGCTGTTGCTGCCTTCGCATGCCCTGAACATACACGTAACCACGCGGATCCTCGCAAGGCCGGTCGACACGTCAGTCCTATGCATTACCCCTCGGTGCTCGGCCATACATGTTTTCGTCGCACGGCCACTAGACTGCCATACGCAGAGGAGGATGGCTACGCACGCAGCATCGCGCGAGTAGATCTCTCGTACGGCGAGCTCGCGGAGCTGGAACAGAGAAACGGTTGGACCCAGCACAAGGCGCCCTTCGACGCCAGCTTCCTCGAGGACGGCCCCGCGGCGGGCACGGCTACGCAGGTCATGCGCGGGATCGTCTCTGCACTCGGCCTCGACCCAGGGCGGGCGACCGTCGACGATCTGAAGGCATGCGGCGGTTGGCTGCGGTGCGTCCAATGCAGACAGTCGCACAAGAGCATGAGGTACGTATACGACTGGGTAGCCGCGGTGAGTCCTCTGATTGCGATACCATATGATTTACGTACTCACTGATGCCTACGCCTACTCCTTGCTCCACAAGTTCGAACATGCATACGGGCACGCTGTCAACAATGCGGAGGTCGGAGCCCGGTGGGAGCGCGTCGACCAAGCAAGCGTGTTGGTCGCCATCGAGCAGTTCGATGCGCAGCGCGATCGCGTGTGTGACCCCGGAACATACTGGGCCTGCTCGTTGTGTCCGTCATTCGACTCATTCGGCAAGGGTATGAAGCAGCATCTCGAGTCGCGGTATGTGCCCTCATTTCTACTTCCAATGTACTTCGGCGTACTAACGCCAATGGTCTGTATAGGCATAGTCTCGCAGATTCCAACCAAGCCATTCGCGACGGCACGATATATGCTCATCCATTGAAGACGCACAAGAGCAGGGGTCGCTGTATCAAAAGCCCGCTTTGTGACGAGCACGAGCGCCGCTATGTGGATTATGCAAACAATGTCGAAACCGAAGTCGAATCGGACTCCGAGTGAGCCCGGCAAGTCTGGATGTGCTGAAGAGCGACTGGTCTCAAAGGGCAGGGATTTGGAAAGCCACGCAGGACGCAGGAAGCCAGGGACATGGACATCGTACGGATAGGTGTTGTATTTGTTGTGCAAGAGTCAAGTGCCCCTCTCCGGAGGCCGTAATGATATCGTTGTGTCCATGGCACGGCTACTCACAATCGGAAGCTCCAGACGTTAACGTCCACAGAGGAAAGACTGCGACGTAGGGCGTCAACGCGGAGCTCTCCGACTCATCGAAACCTCGTCCAATCCATGTTCGCGAGAGTCTGTCGGCCGGCAGACTTTGAAACCTGGGTGGTCAGAAAGAACCGTAAGCGTATCCTTGTACCTGTAGTAATCATAACCCTGAAGCATCTTTCCAGCTTTAAACAGTCCCGGTCATGGGGGCCTCCGTTGCCTCGTGGATGGACTCGCCGAAATGCATGATAGCCTAGCTGAACGCAGAAAAATGCAACATTTTGTTGGGTGGTATCGGTTATGTGCGTAAGGTTAGGACAATGGGACGGTTAACGCGTTCCGACACGGGCCAATATATCCGGGATTGTCCGGGATTTTAGCCACCTCGGCGTTGACGCGCACAACGCATATAAACCCAACGTGTTGGCTTACAGGTTCGCTCAAGACCTTTCTCTCTCCGACCATCCCTCCGGGTTTTCTTACGAGAACTAGCATGGCTATGCCTCCGATAAAGAAAAGAAAAGTGGCCCACGCCAACGAGGGGCACAAAGATTTGGGTGCTCTTCCCTCTCACGAGGTAGCCCCGGTCTTGGCTGCTAGACCAGTTTTGTGGGGGTTACCCTTCGATGTAATTAGAATTGTATGTAAATTCGAGGTCTTTTTGTTCCATCCGAGATGACCGCTGACATTTATGGACAGATTGCGCTTGAGATGCATCTTCAAGACCTTTACAACTTATCCCAGGCATGCAAGAATCTACGCTCGTGTCTCTGGTCCAAGGATGCAGAAACTCTATGGAAGGCCGTAATCAAGAAGAACGGACATCAGCCATCGCTTCACCAGCCACCACCTCCGTTCTTGAAGATTCCCGCATACGTTCACCTCGCGTGCTCTACGCATTGCTCCGTACGTGCATGCCCGCCTCGTCCATTCCCCACATGTCTAATCTCTTCGCAGAATTGCGGCGCTCCCGGGGCAGAAATTCTCCGTAAATGGGTGGTTCGTATGTGTCCCGCGTGCCTGCGATACGGGTCGGCCGCGTAAGTCTATCCAGTGGAGTGTCACGCCGGGAAAGTCTTATGAGCGTTAAATGCAGGATCGTGTGGTACGGCGACGCTGCGAAACAAATGCAGTCGCTCAATAGCGACATCAGCGAGAACGTACTTGAACATGCGACTCTCGCGCAGTATTTCTTCGTCCTAGATCCTTCCAAGTACGTGCACTACGCTGCCATCATCGTAGCATCGGGGCTGACACTCACATTGAACCATCCTTCTGATATATAGCGACAAGACAAATGAGAAGAAAAATCTTCTCTTGCGGCGCGACGTAACCCGGGTGGTCGAACGCTTCAAGGAACTCGGGTCAGCCGGATCCAACGACGCTATGGAGACTTTCGTCAACGCAATGAAGGACGACTTCGAAAGTCAACAGAATGTAATGACGAGCACCTTTCTTCACTGACACACATTTCTGATGTCCTCTTGCCCCCCTCCAGTATTCGCGAGGGTTGGACATATGGTTGGAACTTCGCCGCATCATGAAGCGCAGCCAGGACCGGGAGATGCGTCGTGCTAAGTGCGTCCCATGTCGTTTCCGTCGCGCTGCTACTGACCCCGCGCGCGGCTACCAGTGCCAGTAGCTCGAAGGCGAAGTCGACGCGGAGGCAAGTGACGTGAGCTCATCTGAGCTTGCTGAAGGATCGTCTATCTCAATTGGACAACTCGTCCAGGCACAGAGGAGCAGCCGGAGTCGTAGGATAATCTGAATGAACGGACATATGTATTTCTTCGCGGAGCTGTTGCGGACTCGTTGGTCAGAGTTGTATCTCGTAGCGTAAGTAATCGATTGCTCGTCTCTGAGATGTAATATAATTCTCTTGCGTTAGATATGCTTTGTCTGTTAGCACATCTGACGGTACCGCACTACGACTTGGAGGATGGCATATTTCACTTGCCTTCTAGTCGCTCTACACTGAACGAAGTCTCTATTCTTGCGCCCCAGGCGTGCCCGGTGCGCTCTTGATTGCAAGCTCCCATGGTTCTTTTACACAGCGACAGAGCAACGCCAATACCAAAAGCACCGCTGATCATCTCCTCCTTTGTCAGCACAGTGCGCGCGGCGACCGGGAGATCCGACGCCCGCCGCCCTCCTCCAGGCTCCCTCACGCTGCCCATATCCAGCCCGGCGCCCGTCGCCTGTCGCAGCCGCCTGGCCCACTGCTCCCGGTGCCTGCCCGCGCCCGCGCCCGCGCCTGCGCCCGCGCCCGCCCAGAGCCAGATCCCCCAAGCCCCAGTATGGGTCCGTGTGGACGCCGCCGGGGCACGGAATACGCACGCCCGGGACCCATCTCCGCGCGGGACGGAGCACGCCCGCGTCCGTGATGATTCAGCCTGCAGGGTGATCCCAACTTCCCCAGTCCGCCGGGAATCACAGCCAGCCTCGCACTGGGCGGCGGGCGCCGTCGGTTTCTGTACGCACTGCACCCGCTCCGCCGGGCCAGCGCGCGAGCGGTGTTGTTGTGCTGCCCTATGTACGCCGATGGTACAACAGCAACAGCGGGCACCGCCACCCGCGCGCGGCGGTGATCCTCGCGGCGTTGTGCCGTCCTCTGCACGGACATCCCCTTGTCCAGCGGCCCTTGCCCGCCCGGGCGTGTGGACCCACGCCGCGCGCCGGGCCTTGTCCTGCACCCGCGCCCGCTTCTCCAGGCCCCACACCCGGCCTCGCCCGCGCGTCACACAACGCGCCCGCGTTACGGGACGCGAGCGTGACTTATGGCACTGGCAATGGAAGGCTTCCTTAGCGCCCCATGGGCGCGCGATATCCTCGCCCGGGGATAAACCGACGAATCGCCCCCTTCGAAATTCGCTCGGGCGCGCCTGGGCCCGCGCGTGTTCCTGCGTGCATTCTGATCGGCGACTTGGGCCATGGGGCGAGGTGTGTGTGCGCGGAAGCGCGGGACGTGGGAGGCGCACCGTGACACGGCTCGCATTTCGCATGGGGGTTTAAATACACCTGCTATGTAGCGCGGCCCCGGGAAACACACGACAGGCGCGGGGGGCGATAAATACGGGCGGGGGCGGCGGGGGCATACAGCGTGCGCGACGTACAAGGGTCCTTCGTCCACCCTGTTTCCAAGAAAAGAGTCCGCTAGTGCACAGGACGGCGGCCATACGGGCGGGACATACGGAACGGGCACAGAAGATACAAGAGGCCCCAAGCGGGCAGAGGCACGGTCCCCGTTTTATGTACAGTGTTGCGTTGTGTCGGCCACAGTGCGGTGGGCGCGCGGTCAACCAGCCAAGCCTTCATGGGGTGAGGCGGATGACGTCGCCCTCGAAGACGAACGAGCCGCGCTCCTGCAGCGCCATCGCCGCCTTCGTCACCTCCGCCGTGTCGAAGTCCTCGTGCTTGTCCGGCGGCATCGTCGCGTTGAGGTACGTGACCAGCGTCGCGATCGTGAGCTCGTCGGCCCGCTCGTACGTCACCCTGTAGAGATGCCGTATGGACCTCGCGACGAACTCGAGCCTGTTGAACACGGCGTGTCAGCGGACGCGGTGTGCTAACGATGTTACGGCACGCGCACCTTCCGGTGGGCGACTCCAGGTCGGCGAGCTTAGGCGGCGCGGCGACGTCGACATCGATGTAATCCCACATCGCATCATCGTCCTCGCTCGAAGGCGCAGATGCCGACCGGCCGTGTGCGCCTTCGAGCTGCCGCAGCCGCGCCGTCGCAGCTTCGGCCTTCGCCATCGCCTTGGCGCGCCGCCGCTCCTCCCTGTGATGCGCCCGGTCCGCGTCCTCGACTCCCTCGGCGTCTTCCTCCGGCTCGGGCGTCGCGCTGGAGTCGGACACGACAAGCTGGCCCTCGAGCGCGGCGTCTCGCGCGGCACGGAGCTCCGCGATCGCCGCTTCTCGCTCTGCGATTTTTTGCCTGCCATGTGCAAGTGAGCTTCGAGAAGGAAGAAGGGGCACTTAGCCTATGGACAGTTACTCACCGCCTCTGCAAGCATTTGACACGGTGCTGGAGCCAGGGGTACGAGCAGAAGGTGCTGTCTTGCCGCAGCTGAACCCACTTCTGGCAGAGCTTACAGAATACCCGAGCCGGCTCGACCTCGCCCAGAAGCGGGTCCGCACGTAAGGCCGCGGCTCGCTGATCTGCGTTTCGCCTCCGCGACTCCTGCGGGAGGGCGTTTGGCGTAAACTCCTTGAACGACGTGGAGAAAGTTCCTGTCGAAGAGGATCGCACAGAGGGAGAAGGTTGGGCCGGGTTAGACACCGTGGACACGTGTGCAGACGCGGGCGGCGGAGGAGGCAAAGAAGAGGACGAGGCAAGAGCGAGAAGATGCTTCGGCGGAGGAGGTACGTTGGCTATGTTGAACCTAAAGGGCATCAGAACGGCAGAAGGCGGTTAACCGGACTTCCTGAACCTACTTGGACGTGGACGAGCCAGGACCGGGCGAAGAGGCTGGTTGGCACGCAGAACGATGCTGCATCCACATCTTAACCGCAGCAGCGTTGTTCTCTGATACGATCGAGACCCATTTTTCACATATGCGACAGAGCACGCGCTCGCTGTCGAACCGCTTGATATTGGGATCCGACGTGAACATCGCATTGCGGTCGTCCACTGGGCGGGCGGTTTTAGTGCTGTTCGAGAGGAGGCAGACATGCTCACTATGCGGTAAAGAGACGCGTACGAGGCAGTGGGAGCACTTACTGGCGTTTCGCGAGACAGCTCTTGCGGTGCGCGTCCCATGGGATCGAGCAGTACGTCGAGTTCGGCCGGAGGCGAATCCACTTGTCACACGACGCGCACAGCACGCGGTACGCCTCGAACTTGGCGACGTACGGGTCGCCACGGAGGTAGTCGATGCGCTCCTCCTCGGTGCGCTTCGCGCGGCGCCGCTTGGCAAGTGGCTGCGACGCGTCGGGCGCGGCACTGGGCGTGTCGGGCGCGAACTCGGGCGGGTTCTGGGAAGCGTTCTGGCTGTAGCGACGGGTAAGTCCCGAGTCCCGACGCGTAGGCGAGAGAGGCGCGGAGAGGCGCGTACCATGTGACCCGGTGCGCGTCCCAGTGCTTCACGGTGAAGGCGCCGGTAGCCTCGTCGCGGATGGAGATGCCGTCGCCGCAGGTCTCGCAGATGATGCGGCCGCTGCCGTACTCGTCGGTGGGGGACGTGCTCTGGGTGCCGGCGTCTGTCTCAGACATGGAGTCGGCGCGTGCGGGAGGGCTGGGGCGCGAGGTGGGTTCTGCGGGGGGTTCCTTCCGCTTTTGCGGGACGGTGCGCGAGACGCTGCGAGAACGGTGAGCGCGGGGTCGACGAAGGGTGCGCGAAAGAAATCGGACCTGGCTGCAGAAGCCATGAGGGAGGCGATAGACGCGGGTGGGTGCGTGCTAGGAGGCGTGGTGAGCGCGGGGCGAAGGTGGAGGAGGAGGTGTGGACTGACTCTACCTGCATGGCATGGCCGCGCGCGGGGTGGCTGGAGCGGGTGGGCTGGGCGGGTTGGTGCGGGGAGGGGCGCGGGGGTGGAGGGGAGGATTGACGTGGAAGAGAGGAGGGCGATATAAGATGGGGCTCAGGCCAAAGAAGCGAAAGAAAACATTGAATTCAGAATAGCAGAAATTCCATCGAAAACAAACAGAAAACATTCCCAGGCGCGAAATTGAAATCACCCCAAATGAGGACGTCCGTCATCCTGATCGGGCAACTCTCCTGAATCCTGATTCGTATCCATGTGCTCGCGTCCCCGCCCCTCCCGCCGCCCCCGCCCCCGCTGCCTCGCCGCTGCCCCGCCCGTCGTGCCCTGTCTGCCCGCCGCCGTCGCCCGCCGCCCCCACGCGCGGAGCTGGGCGCGGCGGGGACTGCTCGACACAGCGGCGAGGTGCGAGAACTCTGATCGGCGCCTGGGGATTGATCGAAAACGTCGGTGGCATCGGGGAGACGCCGGCGTGTGTTGTGTGTCTCTCAAGATGGTCACATTGTATGTTGTCTCTGGAAAATGGCCCCAGCGCGCCGTCGCCCGTCCCCGGCCTCCTCCTGCCTCTCTCTGCCCACACAGCGCGCCCGGCCCTCCCACGCGCAGCGTGCCCTGCTTCCCCTCCTCCAGCCCTCGCCTCTCTCCTCCACAGGGCTCCCCTTCCTCCTTTCGGACGCTTCGCCGCCCTCGTTCCCGCCTTCTTGTCTGCTCTTCCGCCGTGCCCAGACGTGTGACTCTCCTTCGCGTCCGTCTCTCCCAGCCCGGCCCTCCATCAAGGCAATCCCACTCCCGCGAGGCGGCCCGCCTTCGCAGATATAGCACCCCCTCGGCCTTTTCCCCGCACCGCGCCTCGCCGGTCTGCCATCTTCTGCGTTCAGCTGCGTATCGCTTGTCGATGCGCGTACGTAGTAGGTTGTATCAGACGCGCTTCGCTGTCGTCTTGTCGTTCTCTCGCTGCATCGCGCTCCTCATGTCACCCCCATGCTCCCCTGCGGCGTGAGTGTCTGCGGGAACCCGAACCTTCTATCGGTCCACCGCGTTCCAGCTCAGAACGCACACCGGTCTCGTGTTCTCTCTTGTCTTAGAACGTTAACTCTATTGCACCCCACTATCGGCGATGTGGACACGCACATCGCCAAGGTTCGCTGTACAGTCCGCCCTTCCAACATATCGACTGATCATCTCATCACATCAATGAATGGGCCTACCAGTCAAGACCTGTCCGTTAGACTCCTCGTAACGCCCCGCCACGCCCCCGCTGACCGCTGACAGGGCCCTCGCGGCATTATGAATTATATCCGACGCGCATCGCGCCCTCCCATTGCCACGTCCCAAACGTAACTCTCCGAAGAGAAGCGGCGCAAAAATATGGCCCATTATACCAGGGGCGATAAGAACAGCGACGACTGACGTCGCCCGACAGATGGCGCCCTACCCGCCAAGCGCCGTCCACACACCCACTCTATACAGCATCACACCTCCCCGTAACCACCCTGCGCGAGGAAGGCCTTCAGACGGAGCACTATCGCTTCCAATCCCGCCAGCCATTTCGTAAGTTCATTATCAAACTTCGCATGCGACCCGCCCTGTGTGATGCGGCCGTAGAAGTCGCGTCTATCGGGCACAGCCCTGATCGCGACCTAGCACCGCAGCGCGATGGTGGCGGGCAAGCGAGCACCGAGCGCGTCCAGAACAACATGACGGCGTCAGCGCCCGCACAGACCAGCACGAGAGCGGAAGGAGACCTACCGCGACAACCTGGCGGACGAGCCACGGGTGGTGGTGCTTGAGGTTCGCGTCGTACGAGCGCCTGAAGCACGTATGCAGCTCCGCGTCCCTGTCGCGCTGCATGTTCTGCACGGACGTCCGCAGCCCGAAACGGCATGTGCGTATGCGGTCAGTATGGGCCTGTGTTCGCAGCGGGGCCTGCGTTCCCTGCCTGCCGGACAATGCAGGAGGGGCGGCGCACTCACACGCAGCGCTTCGCACGTGAACCAGAGGCCGCTTTGCATTCGGGACGACGCATGTGCAGGGGAGCGGGTTGACGTCTGTGTGAGACGGTTACGAGAGGCGCTTACCGAAGTAGGCGGACGAGACACGCTGTCCCATTTCGGTCCTCTGTGGCAGCGGCGCCGGTGCACTCGTTCGTAACCAGTTTCTCCAGGGAGGGCGATTCGGCGGTCGCGAAATCGTACCGGCGGCGGACGCCCTGGAACGGTAATGGTTGAATACGGATAGGTAACATACATAATTCTGAGAAACATGCATACCGTAATGTTGCTGCGTAGGTCGTTCTGCACGAACGCGAAGACGCCACCGCCCAAAAGGTCTATTCGCCGAAGCGGCGGTTCGCGGGGTTGGTTAGCGACGGGACAAGGGTCCTTGTGACGGGTGCGCTGCGAAGGCGACGCGAGGACTCACCGAACATGTTCACAAAGTCGGTCGAGGCCAGGAGAAACGTCGCGGTCTCTACGCCGTCGGCCGTAATTGGGACATCGGCGAATGACTAGAGGGGCATGTTGAGTGACAAGGTACGGAAGGAACCGCCGTCGCGCCAGGCAAGCTACTGCAACCGGCGTGACGGTGTGCTAGAGCCTGGGGGCGGTGGGGACGGCGGCGATTGGGGGGCGTTCGTACCTTCGCGGTTTCAAAGTATGGCGCCATCGTCGTGGTACTAGATCTCAGAGGAAGTCAGAAGACAGGGAAACGGACACCCGCCTGAGCAGGGCGACGGGTACAAGAGCTCACCGGCGACGCAGGGAGCACGGTGATGCAGGACGGCGAGGGCGAGGCTTGCTCCGCGCGCGGGCAGGGCCCTGCAGCAATCCACGAGGCGCACTGGAGTTGGAAGAGCCGGCAGACTCCGCCGCGCAGATCGATATCTCGTCAAGCTGATTGGCACCGGACCCGTATCGTCGGGCGGGCGCGGCGTCGCGCCCTATTCATATACGCGTGCTGTGCCGCCGGCTTCAAGCTGGACATACCTCGGAGGGGTCGCCGCGGGGACGCGCGCGAGCGGACGCTGTCGCCGTAGCGTTCGGTGCGTTTCTACCTGCCGCGGAGGCTGTAATGCGCATGCGCTATTCTGAGTGGAACGTCACAGGAATACATGGCAGAGCTTCCTGCGCGCCCTCAGGCGCCCTCCGCCTCGTATCGGAGGATGTGGCATGCCCGACGCGCCACAGCGCTCTCGACATCGGTCATTGGTCTGAAAATAACTAGGTGGTCAAATTCCGCACCGGATGTGGGCGTACGTGTAGTTGCGGCGCCGGCGCGAGGCTGATCTGTCAGGGTCTTCGCTATAGGAAGATTACTCTGCACGGTTGTCTTCGCAGTCTCCGGGCGTTACTTTTTAGCCGCTGCGAGAGTACTGTGAGGGCTGCGAGAGTACTGTGAGGGAATGGGAGCTCATGTGAGCGTGTGCGCATGCGAGGACTGGCGGCTTGTGAGCGAAGACATGACCAAGAGTGGACATCAGAATCGAGTAGTTTGCTGGAGTCCTCACGGCCGTCTTATATCTCGCTGACGACGCTATCGACTTCTAGCTAGCCTCGGATCACTCTTGGGTGATCATAAGACTCCGTTCGATCGCATATGTCAATTGCAGCGATACCTGGGCGACTCGAGGGGTCGATCGGGGTTGTCCAGCTGAGAGGTTTGCTAGGATGAGAGAAGTACCAAACCGCTTTCAGAAAGTGTACGTCTATAGTCGTATCCGCATCACTTGCTCTACCTCCCTGCTAGCTAGTCGAAGTTTATGCCAAGTATTACATGCGGGCCGGATGGATGAGCAAATTGAGCGCCTGTAATGGCGCTTACGGCGTAGTTGGGAGGCGCTGGAAGAGACGCGCGCGGTGGCTGAGCGGTGCGACGCTTTTGACTCTGCGCCGATCTTAGCCTTACCACGATGTCCGCGTGCTGAGGGCGGTGGCAGCGGTATCTTTCCATTCTCTCTCCTCCTACCACGTCTCCGGCCGACGACTCTCCCTACGGTGATATAGAGGATGGCGCGGGTGTACGCAGATGTGAACGCACGGCTGGGCCCCTCATGGTACGACTATGGTGCGTCCTGTTTGGTTCAGTTCCTCGCCTGCCTCGCGTTTATCGGGCGGCCGTACTAACCCATTTGCCGGCATGTAGAAGTCATGGCAGTCGACTGGAATGTGCCGGATCGATATGAGATAGTGAGGCGAATCGGCGGCGGCAGATACTCCGAGGTGAGCACTTGAGTGGCAGCTGGGCGTCGCTGTTGCACGCCGCTCTGCGGCCACGGTCGCTACAGCCTTTGTTCTCGCAGGTCTTCGAGGGCATCGACTCGTCAAACGAGGAGTCATGCGTCATCAAGGTGCTGAAGCCCGTCGCGAAGAAGAAGATAAAGCGCGAGATCAAGATCCTGCGCAATCTCGCCGGGGGCCCGAACGTCATCCGCCTTATGGACACCGTCCATGACGGTCCGTCACGCTCGAACAGCCTCGTCATGGAGTATGTAGCGAACACGGACTGGAAGGAGCTGTTCTGCACGTTGACCGAGATGGAGATCAAACACTACCTCTTTCAGCTCCTGCGAGTGAGTGCCGCCCATTTGCGAGATCGCGTTCCATGCATGCCGACGACGAGCGTGCAGGCGTTAGACTTCGTCCACTCGAGGGGAATCATCCACAGAGATGTCAAGCCCGCCAACATCATGTTTGACCGTGCGCGCCGTAAAGTAAGCCGAGGAAGCAATCATGGAATATCGAAGGCTCGGCTAACGGTCCGTTCTAGCTGCGTCTCATTGACTGGGGACTTGCCGAGTTCTACCATCCAGGAGTGGAGCTACACATTCGCGTCGCGTCGAGGTACTTCAAAGGCCCGGAGCTGCTAGTTGGATACAAGCATTACGATTACAGCCTGGACATATGGAGTGTTGGCTGCATCCTCGCATCTATGGTATGTCTGCACGTCTTTCCCCCTTTGTACTCCTATCTCATACTCGCCCCTTTAGCTCTTCAAACGAGAGCACTTCTTCCGTGGCAGGGACAATGATGATCAGCTACTCAAGATCGTCAAAGTCCTTGGGTCCGATGATTTCGAGCGATACCTCACGACGTTCCGTCTCTACCTGCAAACATACGACGAGGAGCTTCTCCAGAGGTGCGCCAGCTCACAGACCTTGTCCAAAGTGGACAGATCTGTCACTAACGGTCGGACCGTTCTTCCCCTCCGCAGCTACCCCAAGATCCCATGGAGCAGGTTCGTGACAGCGGACAACCGGGCCAACGTCAGCACGGACGGCATCGATCTCCTCGACAAGCTGCTGCGGTACAACCACCTCGAGCGGCTCACCGCGGCAGAGGCCCTCGCGCACAGTTTCTTCAGTACGTACCTATTCCGCATCCCCGCTCGACAGCCGCTCATGTAACCCAACACACCCTCCCCTCTCGCTGCTGTACGGCTACCCCTTGGCGTTTCTCCTTGGTGTACCGCTTGCATCTGCTCCACCATCTATCCGGGCCCACAGATGCGGTCCGACTCGAGACGCTCTCCAACCCTGCCGAGTGCGTGAGCGACTCTGGCTTCTACTCCGCGTGACTCAAGTGATGCTCGCGATCCCGTGCGGTGGTCCCTCCGCCGAAACACGCCTATTTATGCACGCCTCCCGGAAGGCAGAGCACGCCCTGACTGGGCCCAACACGTCGGTGAAGGTTGAGGAGCGATGAGGAGCGAAGGGCGCCGGACAGCGGCTCTCCCATAGGGCCGACAACGACGGCGCGAGGAATTGGACGATGTGTGGTGGTTGGGCAGGTGGTCTGGCAAGCTAAGCTATCGACGAACGTCTATCATTTATGGCCGCGGATGTATTCTCTGATGATGCTTGTACCCCTAGACGACGGACGCGGCTGCGTGTCTTCGTGTATGTGCTTCGTACCTGGTCTCGCTGTACTGTACTATAGTGCTAAATATGCGATTCTTGCCCGGGCGGCGCCGCGCACGGGTGTGCGGCGGCTGCTCTCCTTCCATCCGACGTTGGTGTGCACGCGTGCGTCTTCCATTGCGGACTTGCATAGCATTGGCTTCTGGCTTGCGCAGGTGTACGGTGGTTCTAGCGTCGATGGTCGATGAGACCGCTCAGTCTCGCGAATCGGAACAGACGGTACTTCCCAGCATGGGCGGGGACTTAACACGTCTGGACACCGATGGCCTTACCGGTATGTGCCAGAGACACGGCGATTTCGCAAGACCTATCAGGCGGCATCTGCATCAGCACTACCACCACCAACTATGTATACTCACCTTACTTCCCGTCACAGGACCCAGAGGCAGCCTCAGCTCGTAACGACTCTGTCATGCTGTCATGCCGCCGTAATCAAGAATCGCGCAAGCTGCTGCGCAACAGCACCTCGGCGGCCGAGATCACATAAGTATGTATCCAGCGACGCGGGCGTGTGCAATATGCACCTGAACGAGCCGGGCGCCCCGCCGCGCAAATACCATAGCCTGGCAGATGCAGATGCGGCGCGTCGATTCTCGATGGGCGATGGAACGACCCACTTGAGCTCCGGCAGGCCGCCTTCTGGTGGGAAACACGGAGAGGTAGCCAACCGTCGCGGGAGGACGTTACTCATTCACCGAGTCCTTGGCAGGCAGCCTGTCAGTGTTAACGCAATCAGTATAGGGACAGGGCGGGCGTTGTCGGTGCAAGAAGGAGTGCTGCGGAGACGGAGCCCGCGGGCGGCGGCGGCACCGAGCTGGCCCTTGCGAGCCCTGGGCGGAATGATTTTGTTTTGATGGCGCCGGAGCTGGGATCCATCACTCACTGCAAGTGTTGACCGAGGCTCCGTGTCGGGCGGGGTTGTGTACTTTGTGGTACTAGTGCGGTGCCAGTGATGGGTATGGAGGTCTTGGGCGAGTCACTGTGTTTCGACGGGGCGGCGGCCAGAGACGTGGGACATTGTGGCGGGTGCTCGCGGAGCGCGTTGGCATGCGTTTGGTGTCCTCGTGGCTCGTGCAGGGTTCGTGCAGGTACGACGTTTTACAGATTCCGAAAGCACAGGTGACACCGGTTGCGAACTTGAAGTAACGAAGTGGAGACATCGAGGTACAGCGAGCAGGCCGATTCGACACGAACGCACCCGAAGGGAATGATGATGGGCGGCGTCCCCCCGCTGGCGATTCGAACATGCCGCAGAACCTCGTCGTCCCACTGCCCAGACGTGTACATTGCGACGATGTCTCGTTGCACGCCGATTGAGATGGGCGGAGATCATCAGCTGAATAAGAAGGCGGCATATCCGCTGATGCTGTCTGTCATCACGCAGCGCGAAGCAGGCAGAACGCGTCTCCGCCGACGCTGTGATGCCTGCGCGCAGTCAGCGATAACACACGCCTGGGGAGCGAATGACATACCCGTCGCCTGTAGCGGCGTTTAGTGGGCTGGCGGCGGGGCGGGTGAGCGTCGACCCAGCCGGAGAGAGGCCGGAACTTACGATACGTCGACAGAGATAGAGGGCGGGAGGTTCGTAGAGCTGTGCAAGGTTCGAACGGGGTTCTAGACTGCGGAGTTCCGAATCGTTCTACTCGAGGGCGCTGCCAGACGGGCTGTCTTCCAAGGCCAAGGAGCAAGGTGTACTGCAACCGCAAAGGCAGAAGCGAGCTTATTTGGTTGAGCCAGGCGCACTTCCTCATGCATCATGGGTCGATCCCGGGCACAGTCGCCCTCCGCGCAGGTTCTAGCTCGAGGGGGCCGGTATTCTCCCACACCGCGGGCGTGTTAGACAAGTCGGTGGTTGTGTGTGGAGGTGCGTCGGGTGCGTTTGCCGTGAACGTGAAAATCGTCGTACAGCGTAGTGCATGGGTCAGAGCATATCATGTGGCGCGTAGAAGACCGAGCGGGTTGTGCTGGGCAAGAGGCGTTTCTGGGAAGCCCCTAGGGATCCTGGACGGTAGGCTGAAGGTTTCAGCCGGGACGTACGTGAACGAAGATACTGCGCGCGGGTGGCATCACCAGGGGCGTAAGGGCTTTGCAAGCATTTGCATGGGCGCAGACACCTGTGGCACCGCCTGAGTGCTTCTGGGTGCTAGGAGGGGCGCTGCGGTGGTCAGCAAGTCGAGGTTCCCATCCAGGGCGAGGTGTTTTGAATGGGAGGGCGAGCTAAGAATGAGCGAGGTTGGGAAGCAGGTTCGTAGCGAACGTTGTCCCGCGCTGCGGGGTGATTTGCAGCGGCCGGAGGGGCTGCGCGCCGGATGGGCGTATACGATTAGAGTTGGGTCGGGGGAGGAGGTGGCTCGACCCGAGCGCATGGAACGTCGGGCAGGGGTGTGCCTAGCAGGCGTCGGGGGCGATCGGGGGAGTGGGCGGTGACGCAACGGACGCGGTGCAAATCGATTGAGAGGAGGAGTTTATCGAGATCAGCCTGCGGCATGTACATTTGTGGCACGCCGCCTATCCCTCTCCCGCCGGCCAAGATCTCTCCCGCCGAATCACACGCTACGCCCCGTATGGCCGCCCATGTGGCAGCCGCCCGCAACACACCGCTGCGCATGGCCAGACGGCCCGTCGCTGGCGACCGCGCAGGGCTGCAGATGGCGGAACACAGATTCGAAAGAAGTTGCCGTAGAGAAGAGAGGCGTCGCTGCAGCTGTCAGGAGGTTGCGCCGGTCGCCGAGCCTGAGAGATCAGAGAGGCGGACGATTTTGCGTGGTGTATGCCAATCGCGGGCGGAATGACACACGGGGGCGACCCGGGGGTGTGGATAGTCGCTATCAGAAACGCACGCTATTCGCGGTGGGAGAGCTGAGTATACAGTCCGTGTACGCGAGCGTAAGCAGCGTTGGCGCGATGGTAGTGCGCAGCGACGAGCTGGGTCGGCGGCGCGGGGCCGTGGGCGGGCGCGCAGGCGGTGTATTGCCTATAGGAGATCGGGCGCCGGGGCGCTTGGGCGGGATGGGATGTGCGAAGGATGATTGGATATAAAGGGGCCGGCGGAGAATGCCTGGCGGACTAATCCCGAGGCGTAGCAGCGTCCGGTGGCCTGAATCGTCTTGGTGCTCGCTCACGACCCCGCGAACACTGCAAACCCGTTCTCGACCCATCTTTCCCATCCCGAGGGCTCTGATCGTACCGCGTCCTCACAAACCAATTATCCCCCGCAGCCGAATTAAGCCCCTTGTTCACATTCCCTCGCCTGCCCCCGTCCCGCCTCCCGCGTCTTCTCTCCTCCACCACTCCCATGCCTGCAGACTCCTCCAAGGCCGCCGCCGCTGCTGCTGCCGCCCGCCGCAGAAACAACCTTCGCAGGGACCAAGAAGACGTCAAATACGACTCCACCCACGCGCGCGAGATCGAGCTCAAGCGAAGCAGAGGCGAAATCTCGTGCGCAGAATGCCGCAGGTGCGATCACCGCACCTCCCGTCCTCTTCTCTCCATTAACTCCTCGTCCGCCCTGCAGACTCAAGGTCCGCATCTCGTCCTCCCCTTCATCTTGACCATGCAACGTGCTAAACCCGCCCCAGATCCGCTGTGACAAGACAATACCATGTCAATCATGTCAGGTACGCTCCCCCGTCCTCGCGCCTCCGAATATTCCACGTATGTGTCCTCCTAGCGCCGGGGATGCGCAGCACTATGTCCAAACGGTACGTCGTGCATACACTCGTGCGCGCGATTTCTCAAATGTTGAACGCGCCACAGGGAGCCTCGCCACCGGTCAGGGTACTCGGTGTGTAATGAATGATTGTATGCGCGTAAATCGACTCACCCCAATCCAGCTTTGTTCTGGCTGCAACAGAGCACCTCCACCGGCGAATAGCCAAAATGAGCGAGCGCGTCCACCAACTCGAGGACGCGCTCGCTATCATCCAAGCCAAGTCCTCGAACGAGCCCCACCCACTGCTCTCCGATGGCAAGACAAAGAATCGAAATATTGAAGACGACGACGACTTCATTACCACAGATAATATGGAGACCGCCCCCTCCTCCGACGTCGTTACAGCCTTTGGCATGCTATCAATGTCGGACCACGGCGTGTCGAGGTTCTTCGGGCCGACTGGCGGAACAGAAGTAAGCACCGTCGGAGCTCCGCCGCGCACCCCAGCTAACCCGCTCCGCCCACGTCTAGTATCTTTTATTCGTATGTGGTTCTCTACGGCCTCGCGGTCGCTCCTCACCGGTTGGTCTTTAGTCAGATAACGATGGCCCATCATCACCAAGCAATGGCAGCAGGTCCCCGGAGTCAATACGCGGCTCGAAGACCCCTCCATTACCCGGCGAGATCACGCGCTTCTCCAGCGCGTTCCCGTTCACGCCAATGGGCGCGCCGCACAGCGTGTACGAGCTCATCGAGAGCCACCTGCCGCCGTACGAACGCGCGTGCCATCTTGCCGAGTCCTACGTCACACATGCCGCCTGGCTGTTCCGGAGCGTGTCCCGCTCCCAGCTCTTCGACGAGATGATCCCGTACTTTTACAAGACGCCGCAGCCAGAAGACGCCCCGCCATTAAGCCAGGAATACAGCAGTCCACATGATCTCGCGCTGTTGCTCCTCTGTCTCGCCATCGGCGCCCTTGTCGACCTCAAGCAACAGCCATATAACTCGGAGGCCGAGCACTATAGCCAGCTTGCGCAGGCCGCACTCTCCCTCCAGTCGGCTCTTGCGAATCCGACACTGGTGACGATCCAGGCGCTACATCTACATAGCATCTACATCGCTATGGCAGGCAACGAGCCGGGCGGGAACGACAACAACATGGAGTTCTCCTGGGCGCTGGTATCGCTTGCCGGTCAGCTGTCACATACGGTACGTGCTTCTGGTTGCTATGTTCTCGGCGGCTTTCATTAACGCTACGCGTGTAGATTGGCCTTCGTAAGTGGTTTATCTCCGCTGACACCAGCTACACGGTGATTAACTCATGTACCGGTAGACCGCGATAGCGCGCGGTTTGGCTTCTCCGCAGAGATCGTAGACAGGCGACGGGTCACGTTCTGGGACCTCTTTGTGGCCGACGCATGGCAGGTTGGTCAATTTTGGCCGTCCGCTATCGCAGCGTCTCACTAACGCGCGGGTGCAGAGCTTAATGACTGGGCGTCCGCCTGTCATACAGCGTGATTATATCGACTGTAAGTTCCCGACACCCATGAACCCTCCGGACGAGGAGGAAGGCGAGGAGCCTGAGGCAGCTTGTAAGTCGCACCCCATGTCGTGTTCTGACGCCAATTGACGTGCATCTGTTACGTTGCCGACAGTCGAGACATGGGGCTTCCGCTTCGCCCTGCAGTGTGTGTCGGAGGTTGCGTCAAAGACGCTGACCGCGGAAGCACCCTCTTACGAGACCATTATGGAGCTCGACCGCAAAGTGCGCGAATTCCCGATCCCGGCGGACGCAGTCGCGATGCGCGAGGAGCTCGAGAGCCCCCCGGACAGCGAGCCGCTCCCGCTGCAGGAGAGCATGATCCGCTTCGTATTGTCGCATTCGCGCGAAGTCAGTGAGTATCCAACACGACGCTCTGAACGTGCGCCTCGTAACTAAGCACTCGCTATCCGCAGTCCTGCTCTTCCTGCACCGCAGCTTCTTCGCACAGGCGATAATCGACTGCCCGCGGAATCCGCTCCGGAGCGCGTACGCGCACTCGTTCCTTGCCGCATATCGCGCGTCCGGCACCATCCTCAAGGTCGTGCGCGACCAGTTCACGCTGTACCCCGGCATGTGCGCGCGCTTCTGGGTGATCTGGACGTTCGCGTTCTCGTCGGCGGTGAGTCGGCACCGAGTTCTATTCAACGCCTCTGCTGCGGAGCACTGACGCGGAGCCTATCGGCACACAGGTCGTGTTTGCGACTGTGGTTACCCGCGGACCGCGATCGGCGATGGCCCCGCCCGCGCTGGCACAGCTTGACCAAGCGTACGAACTTTTCACACAGGCGTCGAAGCACAGTCGTCGCGCAGCGAAGGCGCTCGTGCGTACCTTTCTGTTGTCCTCTGTGCGATGATCGCGCGCGCTGACCCCAGATCTCCCTCCCGTGTCGCGTTTTTCCCTCGCCCCGCACCCGCGTATTATAGCCTGTGCTGCTCCGGCTGCGTGAGAAGGCGCACTCCGCGTTCGCGGCGGCGCAGAACGATCCCACGGGGAGCTCGATGTACGACGGCGAGATGTGGAAGTCGGAGAAGGACGAGGACGAGCTCGACATCTTCGCGGGGCGCACTGCCGTCGTGTCCTCGAAGCGCGCCTCGCCCTCGCCATCTGGCTCGCAGGGCCAAGCGAACAACGGGCTCTCCTCCACACACGGGGCGGGACGGGGTGACTCGCTGCCGCTTATTACCCCGCCCACGCCCATCCCGATCGCGCCTATCCCTGGGGCGGGCAGCATCCAGCTCTCGGACTCGTGGGCGCTCCCGACGCACCCGCAGGCGTCGTCGTCCGCAGGCGGGCCGTCGCATATGTCCGCGTCGTTCTCCCAGCCGCCCCAGCGCCATCCGTCGATGCATGGCCAGCCACAGCCGCCCCAGCACCCATACCGCTCGCTGAGCTTCTCCCACCCGTCGCACCCCTCCCAGCAGCAACAGCAACAGCAGCACTCGCCGCAACAGGCGTCGCCGTCGGGGTACCAGTGGCAGTCCCCGACGACGCTCACCCCGCCCGCGCAGCAGTACAGCGGGCAGATCTCCCCGGGGGCGTACGGCGGGCCGGCGCAGGGGGGCATGTTCCCGCCGAATGCGGACCTGCTGCAGCGGTATGCGAGCGCGGGCGGGTATGCGCAGGGGCTGCCGCACCAGCAGCAGCACCAACAGCAGAGCCAGCAGCAGCAGCAACACTTTGCGCCGCCGTCGGAGCTGGTGAACTTGGGGCTCGCGGCGAGGCATGGACGGCTGGATGGCCGGCTGGACGAGCGATGGACATCGTTCATGCACGAGAACGGGTTCCTGTAGAGCTGTAGACTACCCCTCTGGTGATTTTCGGTCCTCCTCTCGAGCTACGGTCTTTTCGTTCGGTTTGGCCTAGTATATAAGGACGGACCTTGACGATGTGCGTTCTCGGCGTCGTGTTTGTTTGTTATAGCTGCGATTTTCGAACATTCGTTCTCGCGCTCTGCGTTCGGTAGCTTTGGGTATCGGTGTACATCCTGTCGTTTGTCTCTCCGCCCCGTGTCGCCTCCTGTGTCTCTGCCCTCTGTCCTCCACCTGTGTATCCCATCTCCACATAATTTTTTCGCGTCCTTTCTGTGGCTCGTGCCTCCGGTTTTATTTCTTGGTCCCTCCCCCCGCGCTGCTTCCTGGTGCGGGTTTACAGGATACGTGTAGCAGTAACACATATTGTACATAGGACTCGATGCTGATCATAATCGGATTTTTCGAAGCACATCCGCCGTGTCCCTCTAAACATCCCGATTCTCCAAGCCCCTCAATCAATGCCCCTAGGTCAAATACAACCGCCACATGAGTCACGGCCAACTTCTTTCGCTCGTTATACACCGCACCCCGTGCAACGACAGTCATCCTCCAGGGCTTCGCGTGGTCCCATGTCGACGCGCACGTGCAGAACCAGCGTGGATGACCCACCGCTGACACCGCCGTCGACCCAGGACCACGTCGACGGCGCAGGCTACAGATGGACGAGCGAGTACCCTCGCAGTCCGCAGGCGGTGGAGATATGCCCGGGCGATCAGAAGCGCGCACGCATGCATCGGGCTATCTCGCCTCCAGAACAACAGCCACAGGCGGAGGAGGCGAGAAATTAAATACTCGACGGACGACAGCTTCTGGAGCGCAGCCCCATCGCCGTCGCCGTCGCCGTCAACGTGCAGACCCAGAGGCTCTTCGCTTTCCCGCCGCGTCGGGCACGGGCTACGCGCCCTGGGCACATGAACAGCCCGCGCCGCCCTGCGCCCAGCACCCGCGCCATTCCGAATTGCCCGTCCAGGGCTAATTTGCGCACGCCCGCCATCCCCATCGCAGGGCAAGGCGGGAGGCGCTGGACGCTCGCGTGCGGAGGCCCTCGATCCGATCGCGATACATACTTATATGTCCATGTTGTGTGCGCCGTCGCCGGGCAGCCCGCGCGCGTAAGGGCGCGTACGTAGCGGTACCGAGCCGCCGGCGAGGGCGGGATAGGGCGGGGCGGGCGGGCGCCCGATCGGGATCGGCGGGGGGACTTTTTGAGCGACGAGAGCTTGGAGAACCTCCTCTCTGGATCGATTCCTGCCCCTCGCATAACGCACGTTGCTCTGATGGTGGCGGGCGAAGCGCACCCGAATATTGGAATCGATTGGACCTCCCGGCGGAGATGTCGCGCGTCGGGAGGGGCAGCATGGTGCCCGGATCCTGCCTGATCCTCGCGTTCGGGAAGGTGCTTGGAAGGTGATTTAGGGCGTAGAGGTACAGTGCTGTCAGCGCGTAGCAGCAGCCGGGTGCGGGATCGAACAGATTTTAGAGAGGTTTCGGACGGGACGCACCGGGGCGGCGGCGAGGCGAGGGGTCGAAGGGGGTCGACGACCGTGCACAAGGCTCCTCTGAATCGCAGGCGGTCGAGTGGCATAATGCGCGCGATGGGCAGACGCCGGCTACTACAAATAATATTCGCAGGGCGTTGGCGGGTGGGGGGTGGCGGGAATAGGGGGCGTTTGTTTGTGCAGGTACTGTGCGGTTTGGCACCGGTGGCAAGCTAGCGGGCACTTAATGGGCCTGCGGCGCGGAAGAGTGCGGAAAATAGTGGAGGGGGTCTAGGCCGTTCCGGGTATAGCGAAATGTGCGCCGTGTGTTTGGGTCGCGTCTGCCGCGTGTGCGATCGATAATCGCCGGGGGTGGACTGGGTGAACGGGTTCTAATCGTGTCTCGAGGCCTCGCAGTGGCCACGATGTTGTTTACGTGCTCGGAGAGTAGTATTTGTTGTGCTCAGGGAGGCGGGGAAGGCGGCGCGAGAGAACGCTGGAACATTGACAGTGGCATGATTGATTTTGCATGCTTTCAGACAGCGGTGGCGTCGGAGAATGAGCAAACAGCGGGAGGCTGCCGCACCGATACTGTCTCGCGTGAGGCACATCAATGCAGGTTCGATGCAAACGAGACAGCTCGGTGGCAGGAATTGCGGGCGGTCCATGGAAGAAACGCAGCGGTATAAATAACCCGCATGATTGAGGTCATTGAACCGGCTCGTTCCGCGGTTGGTCGCCGCGAGGTGTGTCTTCTCATTCCGAATTTGACATGAGGCCGGGCACCCCCAAAGGCACGATGTACATGTCGCACGTCAAAGTGTCCGGGGTGGATGCCTGTAAAATCAACGAGGAAGACATTCAGAACCAGCTTCTACGACGAGATTGTTCTCGTGTTGCATACGACCTAGCTCTGAAGATCAAACGTCCGCAGTTTGGAGGAAAGCTCGATGGGTTGTGACTATTGTGGCGGGAGGAGGGACGCGGGTGAGGGAGGGGCGTTCAAGGACTTCGCGAGAGGAATATGAACCACGCTTCGATAGTCACCGAAGGAGCATTTGTCCAGACCTCGTCCATTGGTTGGAAAGATAGCGACCGTTACGAGCACGAGCGGGTGTATCCGCAAGACAATGGACTCACCGTGCGCCTAATTGCTCTGGCGGCAAGGATCCCATCCTCACAGGAGGGACTCAAAAGTGTGAGCTACGTCATTTCGCATCCGAAGTACCCTGCCCTTCGACCTGTAAAATGGAAGATTGACGGGCAAGGATCTATGCCAGTGGCCACTCTTCGGGTACAAGACTAGGATAGCCTTGGGGTCAGTCAAGGTTGTAGTGTTGCTAGATGTTCCATATGTGTGTGAGGCCTGGGAGGCCAGCCGTGCTTCTAGTCCTCAAGTACGGCAGTCTTAGGCAGTGTTGCTAGCAGAAACGTACTCGTCATGAATGCTTCGTGTATAACGTTGAGAACGGCGACTCCGTCGCTCCAGACTGGAATGTGCGCCACAGTCAAGTTGTCGCGTGCGCCGGGGGCACATACGTCCGCTGGGTAAATAAAAGCAAGTACTAGAGCGGTGACAAAGAGCAATTACACAGCGGGCAGCGGCTTGCCGGCGTCCGACGGGGGAGGGCAACGGAGCACAAGTGCGGAGGCCTCGCGTGTGGGCTGCTACGTATTATACGGCGCCGATCAGCCAGACGTCGGAGGTTTGGTAGGGCCGCGGTGTGAGCCGCGCGCCTGAGGCACGACGTCTATCTGCTCAGACGTTCTGCAGCAGCAGGGGTTGTGTATCATATGGACGTATTCGAAGGGACTCACCATCCCGAACATACCGAGGCCCGGGGCCCGGCGGTCCCGGGAGCACTTGCGGGATCGTGGCAGCGACAGCGCCCGGGTAGTACGGATTTTGAAAGCGCAGTTTGACTGTATGTTCGATAGGGATGCTTGGCTGGCAATGTGCCGCAGAGTACACGGCGACGTACGCGTCAGCATGGGTAGAAGTTCGGCAGCACCGCCCCTGTGTCGTTCGTGGGTGTTGTTGATGCAGTCGAGTCAAGGAGAGAATGCGGATCGTTCGGTGCTCGGACATGACGGCCGCACAGACTGCAAAAAGCCCCGAGAAGGCCTGTTGTGGTGATGCGCGCTCGCTGGGCCATTGAGATAGGCCCTAGGATTGACGTACGCTGACGGAAGGTTTGTAAGGGCAGGGGCAGGTGAGCTGGAGGGGAGCGGGATGTGTCAGCGGCAGAGAGAGGGCGTTAGCGCGCGCGTCTATGCGGCAGCGCTGTGGGCGCAGTCCGGTTTAACCGGAGAGCACAGCGCCCGGGCAGATAGACTCGGAGAGCTGAGCACTCCCGCACCGCTCTTGCATCCTTCCCACCTCCACACTCCGATCCGCTCCTTCCGCTACATGCTGCACACATCACATCACGTCTGACTGAGCCGCCATGCCTGCAGAACCACGACGGAACTCGCGCAAGATCAGCACCGACGACGAGATAGAACTCAAGCGGGCGAGGGGCGAGGTCTCGTGTGCAGAATGCCGCCGGTGCGTCCCTCCAGTCCTCCACGCTGACCCACAGAAGGAGCTCATGCGTCCGCCGCGGACCGCAGCCTGAAGCTCAAGTGTGACAAGAAGCTGCCTTGCGGCTCATGTGTCCGGAGAGGATGCACATCTATATGTCCCAACGGTGCGCCCGGTCGTCGAGCTACGCCACTTACTCAATTGGCATCGCTTATTCACCTTTCGAGTGCAGGCAGCCTCTCCGCCGGCCAAGGAACGAGGTCAGTCCTTCGTGGTGCCCCCACCTGATCTGCGGCGCGCTAGATCTCAGATGCGCCGTGCTTGGCCTTGGCAGATTCATCCTCGCGGATACAGACCAGCTGCATAGAAAGATATCCGAAATGAGCGAGCGAATACGACAGCTGGAAGACGCACTGGCTATCTTCCAGGCTGGTATATCCCACGAACGACATCCCCTCCTCCGAGATGAGCTTCTCACCATCAAGTTCGGCCCTGAGGTGCGGCGAACGGTAGACGAGGAGCATTCAAGAGACCTATTATCGAGCTCTATCGACGCACTGGGCACGCTGACGGTGGGCGAGCACGGAGAGTCCAAGTACTTCGGCCGTTCTGCCGGTTCCGAGGTTCGTCGTACTTGCTCCGGCGGCGTCTTCTTGATTGACGATCCGCCCCCTACGCACGTGTATTAGACTTTGATCTCGGTGAGTGTATGGCAGGAAATCATGTTCGTATGTTTTGTGCAAGAACTCATCCCAGTCAGACAACAAGTGATCCCGACGAGGAAGTAGAGGCCGTACCCTCTTTCGAGGCCGAGCTCGCGAACGTCGCCATCGCATTCCCACTTGCCATTGTCGACGAAGGCACCGACGCCCTCCTCGAGAAGCTTGAGGCACACCTACCTCCACAACCCAGAGCTTGGGCGCTCTGCGAGACTTACCTCGAACACACGACGTGGTGGTGCCGGCCCGTGAAGCGCGACGAGCTGATCGACGACATCCTCGTCCCGATCTACAACTGCCTGAAGGACCCGCAAAAGAATGCGTACCACCGCGACGCGGGCGACGACGACGGGCGCTGCCCGCACCTGCTCGCCGTGCTCTACTTCGTCTTCGCCGTCGGCGCCCTTCTGGACCTGACGCTGCAGCCGTGCAGTGCAGAGGCGGAGCTCTACTACCGCCTCGGGCGCTCGGCGCTCTCGCTGCGCTCCGTGTTCGACTCGCCCGAGCTGGAGACCGTGCAGGCGCTCGTGATCATGACTAAGTACCACAGTCTGTGTACACAGCGATACTCGATCGAGAGTGCGTGGCGGATCTCGTCGCTCGCCTCGAAGATTGGACAAAGCGTACGTAGATCTCACTATATGCATAAACGAGAGAGAACTCAAGTTACATTATTCGACAGGTCGGACTACGTCTGTCGTTCTTACGCCTCATCCGTGGCTGGAGGTACTGAACAGTGTGTTTCAGACCGTGACAGCGCGCTGTGGAAGCTTGACGACAAGCATGTGCAGCGCAGGCGAAATCTCTTTTGGGAGATGTTCACGCTAGAGATGATGCACGTACGTCGTGAATTTCGCTTTTACATACGGCAAGTCGAGACTTATGGTGTGCAGTGCATGACATTAGGCCGCCCACCGTCCCTATCGTTCCAACACATCGACTGCGAACTACCAGACGACGACGAGGCGGTGGTGGGCGACGATGGCAGCGACCTGCGCGGCAGTAAGTGTTCTTCCCTGCCAACCCGTTCTCTGCCTGGCGCTCACATGCTTCGCGTTCTTCAGTGTGGGCGTTCAAGCACTCGTTCACTCGTGACATCTATGCGGGCGTCATCGACGGCATGCTTTCCGCGAAGCCGCCCTCGTACGCGCAGGTGCTCGAGTACGACCGCAAGATCCGGCAGACGTCGCTCCCGAACGTGCGCCTCTACCTGCGCCCGGACGAGGCGAACTACAGCAACCCCGCCGTGGTCTGCAAGTCCTTCTTCCTCTCCCACTTCCGCAGTATCAGTACGTCTTGGCTCCCAGCTATGGCGTCAACGACGTCAGTGCTGACGTATTTCGACAGCGATGATTCACATACACAGGACGTTCTTCGCGCAAGCGCTGCTCGATAACCCGTCAAATCCGCTGTCCAGCCCATACGCGCCCTCCTTCCTCGCCGCGAACCGCTGCGCCTCCATCCTCCTCCGCAGCTTCCTCCACCACTGGAACCGCAGGTGCGTGCCCGTTCCCCCATCCCACCCGGTTCTCATCATCGCCGCCGTCTGACCCTTGCGCACCCGCGCGGTCCCTTCACAGCCCCGAAATATGCAGCCGCTTCTGGGGCATGTGGACGCACGCGTTCTCCGCCGCTGTACGTATCCCGCTTGCCTTCTTGCTCGGATTAACCGCAGCCGCGAATGCGTGCACCGGTGCACCGCCTTCCCGTGGGTTCTGTGCTGACCACGGTTCCAGATTATTCTCGGAAGCACCGTCACGCGTTCCCCTAGCGCGACGATGGCGCCAAGCGCTCTCACGGACCTGGACCTCGCCGTCGACTTCTTCGAGCGCGGCGCGGCGATGAGCCCGCGTGCCCGCCAGGCTCTGGTGAGTCCCCAGCCCGGATTCCTTTGCGCCCGCGCGCACGCGCTGACCCACTCTGGCAGCCGATCCTGCGGAACCTGAAGGACCGCGCGCTGAAGGCGTTCAACGAGTACCGGAACCGGCACATGAGCCCGTCGCTCGACATCCAGCTACACATCGGCGGCCCGGAGGACCAGTTCCAGGACGAGCTTGCGATCTTCGGCGGGCAGACGCGCGTGCTCACGAACAAGTTCCTCTCGCGCAAGCGCACGCGCTTCCCCGCGAAGCCGCGCGACGCGACCGCGACCACGAGCGCCGCGACCACGCCGGCCTCTGCCGTGTCCCCGAGCTCCGCGTCGACCCCGATCTCGACGCCCGCCCCCATGAGCGCGTGCACCCCGAAGACGGCGTCGACGCCGAGCGACGACGGCACGACGCTCCCGCAGAACATGGAGGAGCAGATGGCGCACGTGCACCCGTCGCTGATGGAGTACCTCGCGCTCTTCCCCGCCGCGGCGTCGATCTCGCTCGTGAACCAGAGCTCGCAGCACGTCCCGATGGACATCTCCGACTCGCCGTTCGCGCCGCCGTCCGCCGCGCCCGTGTCCTCGCCCCCAGCGATGTCCACGTCCTCCGCATCCGCATCCAACTCTGTGTCCTCGTCGTCGTCGTTCGCACCCCCGGATACGCTCCCGGGGGTGCACCCCTCCTCGCACGGCCCGCACCAGCACCAGCACCAACAACAACAGGGCGCGGGAGATCCGCTGGACTTCTTGAACGTGCTGCCGGTGGGCGGCCCGACCGACCACCTCGTCGACCCGAGCGCGTTCTTCTCGATGGGCCCGGAGATGACGAACGCGATCTTCAACGGGACGTTCGCGATGGGCGGCGCGGGCGACGCGTCGGGCGACCAGTGGGCGTCGCTCATGCGCGAGACGGGCATCTTCGACGTGCAGGGCGCGTTCCGCCAGGACCCCTTTGGGGCCGGCGGCGGCCAGGCGGACTCGTTCCCGCAGTACTAGCGGGGGCGGGGGAAGGCGCATCTGCTAATGAACGAACGACAAACGAATGGGCTATGACGCACGACCTGTGACGCGCACGAGAGGGGAGAGAGATCCACGGCTTGGTGTGGCGTTTGTTGCTGTCGACCGCTTGAATATCCGACTGTTGAACCCGACTCTACTGTAGCCCTTTGTAGCATGTGCACTATTAATCTTCCGGGGCCGTCGAATGGGGCCCGTTGTATCAGTACTGTGCTGGTGTGGTCTCGGTCGCTTGTTGTTGATGTTTGCTCTCAGAATGATATTGTAGATGCTCGAAATGCCGAGGCGAGATCTATCGTAGACGATTGGTAACAGAGATGGGGCAAAAACATGGCGGTGTTCTTGCTCGAGAGCCAGAGGCGTATGTAGACAAACGCATACGCTCAACTCTCTGCTCAACTGGCCATGGGGGTTCAACGTCAACACTGCACAGCGACGCGACATACAGAATGCGCGGACGGAAATTCCATCAAAACCCGCCGCGCGGCGTCACATGGGATACTGGAACTGAAGAGCACGGCGCAAAATATGTTACAAGAAATCGATGCATGCTACATATCCCACCACGTAATGTTTGGTCAATTTGTGTTCCTCGAGGCCCGTTCAGTAACTGCGAGCGACCTGGTCCTACCACGGAGACTGCCCAACTCCGAACGGAGCCTTCTTCAGCACTGTCCGCGCGCCCGAACTTGTTTTTAGCGATGGCGACAAGGCGATCGAGGAGTGAGTGTAACGATCGGGGATAGAGGGGCACATACTATTCGTAATATGCGTCAGTCAGTAAGGCACATGCAATAACATCCCTGGAGAACGGCAAACCGGACTTTCGAAGGACGGATGCTGGGCACAAGGGATCAGCGATCACTACTATAGCACATGGTTAGGGTAACGTTCAGGCTCACTGTGCGCGTCGAGGAATGGCCGAATATAAATATGCAGGACTTCGCAGATCGTAGGAAGATGTTGTACACTTGGGGCGTCAAGAGAACTCGTCCTCTCCTCCCAATTTTGTAGCGACGTTTACCCGATGTCAAGGAAGAGGAAGATAGGGAAAACCAGACCACGTTTACGAGCACTGGTCGCAAGGATCTGACTTCGCGGTTAGCTCCACGCCATCGTTTTATAGAGAAGACTCACCGGGTCGGACGCGGGCATCACAAGGCGCGGACGACCTCCAAGATGAGCACAGCTGACGTTTCGTATTGGAGGGCCTCGCCAAGCATGGCTTCCACCTCTTCGATCCCCCGGGGACCGGCCAAATACACTTCCCAGTCCGTGAAGAGCGGTTCCCAAGTCCACGCCTTGTTCAAACGCACGAAGCGTCCCGGAAGCGGGGCTATGGAGCCCTGTCCCTCAGCACATCGTAAAGCGAGCCCGTTGTTGATGCTACTAGTGCAAAGGAGCTTGATGTCCGCTATCAATGCGTTGCGCCCTATGTCGTTAAACTGTTCGGGCTGGAAGAACGTGGAGCCGGACAACGGGTGGAACTGGGCGAAGAAGAATAGGTGTTGCATGTGGGGGTACTCTACGGTATAGAGCACAGGGAGCATGCCGATAAATCGGGGTTCGTCCCTGCACTCCCTCTCTCGGACCTCGCGTAATGCTTGAGCTCCCTGCCAGTTGAGCGCGTCGATGGGATCTCTCGTGCACTCCTCGATCGTTTGCCAACCATGCCTTACGAACTTGAACGTACGCGCGGGGTCGAGCGGGGATCCTGGGGCGTAGACGCACCGGAGGTCGACCGTCATGATCTCCGGAGGAGTGTTCATATATTGTGGACCGCCCCTGAGCAAGAGCTCGGCCTTTGCGAAGGATCGGAATGCCCAGGAGTGTGTGTCGATGAAGTCCCTCAAGACTTGTTTGAAATCTTCGGCGCTGCGATACCCGAACGACCGGACCTCGCTGACCTCCGCTAAGACCGCGCCGAGAGCTGCAGCATTGGGTAAAGAGCACGATAATCTACCAGGGAGGCAATGCAAACTAATATCAGCGGGTGGTTCTACAAATCGATCGGGATCGCAGCGTGTGTGGGACGGCATGAGTCACTCACTTGTGAACGGGCCACGCAGCCTTTTGGCACACTCTGTTGCAGTATAGCGCAGATGCACACCGCGAGCACCTCATCAATTTCATATACTGGTCCTGGGGCTTCGCGCAGTACGTGCAGATGCGCAGGGAGGGAAGGGCAGTCATGAAGTCTGCTTCTCCAATTTCCGGGGATTTCGGCGTGGAGGCAATAGAGAGCGAGTTCATGGTAGGTATTTACTTGCTTTCGCTATAGCTTGTTGTAGTAGCAGGGGGTGATCGTCGTAACCAGCAGTGGTGGACGTGTTGAGGCGTGTTGACCGGCGTGCAAGCGCCCATTTAATCATGGGGCCACACTAGGACCAGGCTCCTACTCACCCGCCTGCTTCGAGGGAGGGGGTTAATTCAGGTAGCGTAGACAATGTTAAATCCGACATATCTACACCAGCGATGCTCGAGATTCATTTGAGGCGAGTGTATGGACAGCTTCGTTCGCGTGGAAGTAGCACAAGGTGGCTGCAAAAGAGACACTACATGCTATGGAGGTCACCCATCAATCCTACGTGAGTACTTCACACCAGGCTGTACATATTCGAGTCAGCTTCTAGGTTCACATCCCCCCCTCAGATGGCAGCCTGTGCACAATTCCTAGCTTTCTAAATGCACTACATTAGACCCAGTCTCCATTGTCGGAATCAGACTCCGCGTTAGAACTGGGCCCGTGGTCGTGCATGAAGAACGGGAATTTCGATACAGTACCCCTCGTTGTGTGCCTTCGAAGAGTGACTGTAGATCGACCCGTCACAGACAGCCTGGTGAATATCCTTGATATCATGCCTACCCGGAGAACTGAGGTCAGAACCATGCCACATAGCTGTAGAAGTTGTATCGCACGTCACGTACTGTGTACTGAGATGTGCCTTCATGCCTGGAGTGCCCGCATCAAAGTCAAGGCACGATGAGCAGCACCACCACGCTTCTTTGGAAGAGAGGTCTTCGCGCGCTTTGAGGCTCTGTACAGTCGCTAATACTTCTGGGTAGTCGATGCGCTGCCACATAACTTGGGCTACCGCAATGTCGCGGGCAGAGTGCACGTGTTTGAACTGCATGCGCGACACCGGGGGTCCGTCAGAAAGCCACGGTTCAAAGCGAGCACGCGGACTTACCGCCGCTGCCCAGTCGTACGCGCGTTTCACAACTCCCTTGGAGCACGCGGGCTCACACTTCGAGTTAGTGCAGCGCAGCGAGCCCCCGCATGCCTTCAATTCGTCGATGGTCGCCCGTTTCGCGTCAAGCCCGAGTGCAGAGACGATCCTGCGCAAGTGCTCGATAGCTGCACTCGCCGCGCGCCCCTCTTTGAGACGGCTCGCGTCGAAGGGCACATCACTGGTGGGTGGGGGGTTCTCATCGTCCGCATGGTAGTAGAGCGCGAGCCACTCCGCGCGCGTCGTAGGTTGCATGAGCACGCGCGAGTAAAGGTCGTCCTGCGCACTCGGAATCTTGAGCTGTGCTCGGCGGAGGCACCGGTGATTGAGAATCGCTGGGTACCGCATGTCGGAAGCGGTAGAAGAGTCGCAGCATGTAAACACCGCGATAGCGAGGCCGAGCGGATCGACACCGGTGGGAGTACGTGGGATGTATCGGCGTATGTAGCGCGTGAGCTGTTTCTTGACATCCTTGTTCCACCGAGTGACAAGATCGGGAACAACAGAGGCGAAGTGGTCGGCGGTCACGGTCTCGGAGAGCGGGAGGTCTAGAATGACGCGACATTTACGCATGTACGCGAAGTCGATCGGGGCAGGCGTGGCAGTTATGATTGAGGAGGTCTGTGGAAGTTGATCGCAATGCTTGACGATGGCTGCTCTGAGCGCGTCCAAGCGGGCACGGAGCACATCTCGGTATTCGTCTTGCGTCCGGTACATACGCGCCTTGGTGAGCCGGTCCTCCAGCACGCCCATCACCTTTGGCCAGTCTAGGACATACAAATGCGATGTCAGAAGTACTGGGGTGACATGTTGAAGGGGTAGAACTTGCCTGCGTCAGTAAGCTTACCAGACTGGCGAATGAAGGGGAGCTTGGACATCTGAACGATGTCGTGAGCACTCATGTTATCTAGTTCCTTTCCCCAACCTTCCTGGCGAAGGCGGGCCTTGATGCTGGCGATGCTCAAAGTCAGTGGCATATACAATAATGACAATCTTACACGTACTCTGCAAACCGTCTTTCCTTGCCCTCTTTGATCTCCCACTTGTGCATATCATCAAACCAAATTTTGATTCTTTTCGAATCTTGGGTGTGCAGAGAAATCAGATCAGATGTAGATACGCATAAGTGAAACCATACAATCGGACGACTTCTACAATCGGCCTTCAGCCGGCTCGTGAAAGTGCGCATATCTTGCTCAGATACCGACGTGCCAAGGTCCTTGTACTGCTTGAGGACGCTGTCCACGTGGATCTGTAAGATGAAATTCCGGCCTTTGTCGTTCGTGTCGCTGGCGATGACGCAGATGGTTAGCGAGCAATTTTGATTGCCATTTGAACGAGTGCTCGCGCTTACCGGACAGGATCGTAGACCACAAAGTACTTTGAGAAAGTGGTGGGGTGGAGTATTGCATCGCTAAGGTCGCTGCTGATGAGGCGTACTTGCTCGGCGGCCTTGCCATACCAGACAAAGCTGTAACCATGACCGTCAGAGGCGCCCGAAGGTCCGACTTTACAGGCAGACTACTCACGCGCGGGGTATACACTTCTTGCAAACGCGAACTAAGAACAAGTCAAGGATCGTTCGCATGGAACAGCCACAGATCTGCAGGAGAGCGTGTCAGGCAACAGTACGTACATCCTCCGGTACGTGTCAGTTCGGACGTCTTTGTTGGTACGCTTCCGAGTCTGACGTACCAAGTTACGAGAGAACTTGACGACCGCTCCTCCATTGGCATATAATCTTCATGCAGCTATACAGTCAAATCCGCGAGCCCTGGACCACAGAAGGACGGTGATGGACCCAGGCGGATGAAATTCTCTCGTTGAGGGCGCGGATATCTGCCTCGTACTCGCGGATCCAGTGGAAAATATTGTCGATCTAAAGAAAACACGATCAAGTGCACGACGTTTCTGTTTGATATTCCGTGTCAAGAAGACACGAGAAGTCACCGAGTTGCGCTTCGGAGAACAGGATGTACCCAGGGTTGCTAAGAGAGTGACCGGGATGTGGACGAAGTATCAGAGCTACTCACTGCGTACAGTGCCTTCTTAGCAAACCCCGAGCTACGTGCAGGGATACCGTGTCTAAACTTGCAGCTGATGGCAGCGCCATTCAATCTAGCATGGCTTCAGCTATATGAAAGGTGGACACTTTGTAAGCGCCACACGACCCTCGTCTGTGATGTCTAGCAAAGCCCTCAGCGAGACTCTACGCCACAAAGTTGCTGCCGCCCGGGGTGTATTGATAGAGGTTGGGCAGCACGGCAGTTCTACATAGTGCGAGACAAGATCGGAGGTGTGGGTCGAGCAGCCCCTACATCGTGTCGCCAGGTAGGTTCGACATACTGCGACACCAATGCGCCGACACCAGTCGAGACTTGGAAGACGCTCTAGATCTCGAGTAAGTACTTTTTAGTAATCACACCGATACTCCTTATAGGCTTCGTTGAGTCATGTCCGTATATCATTGAGTCTATTGCTACACGCTACAAATTAATGTACTAGTATGGCCTGTGGACATCACACCGTTATGATCAGGACGAGGTAAAGTAATAGTACTGGATATAAGTAATTATGTTGAAGTCAAACATCGAGGGCTATAGGCATGCCAGAGGCAACCTGAAAGGTGACGTGCAGCGCGCGAGCGTAGAGCTACTAGTAGCAGGTAGCACCAGAGACACAAGCTAAAGCAAGCTGCGAGGCTGACGAGTGGCTCAGATGTAAGAGCCGTAGAGCGCAGGGAACCGAGCAAGCAGCCCCAAGCGTGAGCGTAGTCCAGTACTGAGTTCCGATAGCCAAGTGAGACTCAGGTGAGGCTGAGAGAAGGGGCCAGCAGCCCGACAAGTTGCAGGATTTTTCGCCTTTTATCCAGCGAGCATAGCCTCGAACGCCCCAGGCGAGTATCTGCCACGAGACGAAGATAGGGTGTCGCAGAATGTCGAACGAGTGATTCGACACGATCAAGCAAGGGTCAACGAGAGAGAGCGCCATCGCGTCTCGACGGGCCTGTCGCAGGTACGCGAGGTAGGCGCGCATATGCCTCTGCTAGTAACAGCGACTTGACTTCGTACCGCGAACCTGCAAAACACGAGACAGCGGTGCGGGGCTCCTCACTATACAACGGCGCAAGTGCTTCAGCGAGACAAAGTGAGTTCATTCAGCCCGTATCCACGACCTGCTGCTACATCATCAAACCTATCGCACGCCCCTCGCGATCATATCCCGCGGATTGTAGCAGACCCCTTGCTCAGTTGGGGGTGAACGCAGTGACTGTCAATGGTGACTCGGATGTCAAGAGTAGGCCAGGGGCGGAGCTACTCGAAGTTGCTAAGACAACTTGAAGCCACCTCCATTGTTGTCGACGTCCTGGCTTGAAAATACGCTTTTTTATATGGATTATCGCGCCTAGTTCCGGCAGAGAGAAGATATGTGGAAGATAGTTCCCGCCATTGATGGTCAAGGAGTGAGTCGTAAAATATATAAGCGCCTTGGAACACCCAGTAACTGGCACTGCCACGCATTCATGCCGCCGAACGTGGACCCACTTCTTCTCGCACACTCTCCGCGTCGACCTCGCTCTTCTATGTCTATCTGCTCATCTCAAGCCTGTGCTATGTCTATCACCCGTGTCTTTCCGCGCTCATTGGGCAATGCTGGATGCTCAGCATTGGCCCGTCGTCCGGTCATGCCATGATCGCGAACCTATGTCCTGTCGGTCGCATAGCTCTGGACATGACCAGTGACCGTTGGCATGATACACGAAGTATCCGTACTAGATGTACACGTTACTCTGTATGAATAGTTCTGATGCCTACGAGCTCAATGGGCGGACGGAATTTTACATGTAACCCGGTTGCACGGTTGCAGGGCGTACATAAAGGCGCTCAGCTTGGTTGGCATGCTCCCTATCTCTCTATCCTTTCAAACTCTCCTCCCGAGCATACCACGCGTCGATGGCTACCTCCATATTCAAAGAGTTTACGCTGGGGGGCACGCTAGGAGTCACCCTTCTCGGCGCCTGCGTCTCGTCCATGTGAGTTCTCTACTCCTCGATGGCCCGGAAATTCGTTTACTGACAAAGGTATAGGCTCTATGGTGTGACCTGCCTTCAGACATTCACTTATTACCGCTCGAAAAAGGCCAAAAACGACAGTTGCTGGCTATATATCATGGTGAGCAATAAGCACAGTGGGATCCAACTCGCGGGACTGGTTACGCCGTTTAATGACAGTGTTTCGAATTATCAGGTAGCTGTTCTGCTGTAGGTTTTTTCAGGCGCACATGCTCTTATTTTTGCTCAGATATGCGCTGCAGTGTACTCGATACTACACATCAAGCGGTTGTGATTCACATTGTGTACAATTTTCTCGTGCTCGACTTTGCAAACCCGCGCTCTGTGGTAAACATGGTGTGGTGCGTATTCGCTTCTGCACTCCCGATCTTCAAGCTGTAGAGTCGATCCTGATGGTCAAATATAGGAGCATTCCGGTAGGATCTATATGCATATCAAACTCGTTAGCGCGAGAGTGCTTACGTTGTGCCTGCCCTACCTGCTTAGACCGAGGTTGTGTTAAATGTGGGTGTCCTCTTGTGACCTTTCAAGCTCTCGCGTTGACGAGGCTCATGATTATAACCATCAGAGCGTGTTGGCGCTCATTCTCAACGGGCAAGTCATATTTCAATGCTCGTAGCTGTTCTTCTCCGACTAAGCGATCTCCTAGATTTCTAACCCTGCGTCTGTGGCGTCGTATGTCGCGTATCTCTCGCGATACGCTCTCCGTGCTAACATGATCTACGTCTCTCCAGTGAGCCGCTTGTACTCCCTCACCGCGCTAGGGGTGAATACAGACACTCTTCTTTTGAAGCCGAAGGCTGATGTATTTCTAAGGCAACGATGGCAATCGCAAACTTAGGCAAGCTCCGCTTCTATCTTGTACACATATCAGCGCGGCATAAACTGACTGAAATTTACCCAGGAACAACGTGCTGTGAGTCTTGCACCGCTCGAAGCCGGTTGTCGAGGCAGTGGACCTTACCTATATCTAATTCAAGCATATGGCATTCGAGTGTAAGTCGCGCGGCAACAGTCTACCACTTCTTGATACATGAGTCAAATGTGTCATGGTGTATCTAGGTATCAGTACAGTGACATATTCGACGCGGAAATATCCTTGCGGGTACGTCGGATCGTCTACCACCATCTCCCATCATAATCCTGTTAGTGCTGACCCTCTTACGACAACGCTTGTAGACCCACGGCATCGGCGGCCTGTCCATCTCCGTTGCCACCGAAGTAACACTGTCGTTCTCGCTTGCATACCTCCTCCACACTCATCGCACGGTTTATCGGCGGTGCGTACTGTGACTGTACATGTTTTGGGATCCGCTGATCAGCTCGCCACTCCTGGGCGTGCTAGGTCTAATGATATGATTACCAAGCTCATCACGCTCACTGTCACCACTGGGATGCTAACCACGTTAACGATGTTTATGTTGCGCATTCCCTCGTCTTATTGCTTACATCCCGTTATTTATCACAGGCTCACGAACCTCGTGGATCTCATCGCGGTGGGTCCCCGGCTATCCTATATGGCAGCCGAAAGAACTGATCATATGCGCGTCATGGCAGTATGTGACTGTGCACAACAACCTCTACATCCTCTTCTTCAACTTTTTGCTTGGGAAATGTATGTAGCACGCGCCCGCATCCCTCGCCACTAGACTCTCACTGACGGAAGTTTCATACCAGTGTATGCAAACGCTATCCTGACGTCGTAGGTCCATGTCAACGATCGCCGCGGATGCATCGCCGTTGGCCTCTGAATTTCCCGCTGACATCCCACCCATTCCCGTCCATTCACCTCAGGCTGAACAGCCGCCAATACGTACTTGGCCTGGTAGACCACGTCGAGGCGCCGGCGATCCTAACAACTCCTACGAATGTCGGTCGCCGCGGCAGCACCAGCAGGATGCTTGGAAGTCTGGCGAGGCACTACGAAACACGCATCGACATGAATCGTTTTGTGACCTCCACCGTGCGTACCGTGTGTTCTCACGCTGCTGCCATCGAACTCGTTGATTTACGTGACGCGGGTCTGCCCCGACAGAACTCGGAAGTGGACGCTTCCGCGACAAAGTTTGAAAGGTGCGCTGCGAGGCCATGGTTATGCCGCCGTATCAATCTGCTCAATACTGCCTTTCCCTTCAGTGTTTGAGGCAGGGTAGACGTTTCCACGTCCCCCTACAAGGCGGAAAGGATTATTGCGCGATACGGAAATATGCCACACCGACCGGAGGCTGAGGGCTCGACAGGATATGACGAGACAAAGGACATGCTCTTGCGGTTCACTATACTATTAGTTCGCGCTTGACCGGGACTGAACGACCAGGTATCCACCCGGCAGATAGAAACACGGCCGCCCCGCTACTCGACGGGCTCGTCACTTCTGGCTCAGGTCCCAGAGGCCGGCTGCCTATCCCTATCGGTAGACGGCAATCCCGGGCCATGACTGCGCGACGCTAACTTGAAGCTCCTGTCCGAGTCGTGTTCGTCGCCCCCCCCGCATATCTGGAGACTCACACTGAGAGATGAGCATGAACGAGATGCCGGCCTCCAGCCGCTGCCAGCTGTCTTCAGCAAGGAGCGTACGACGTATATGATGAGGAATAGGGCGAAACATGCGCTGTAGAGTCCGTGCGCATCAGAGTTTGCACTCTGCTCGTTTGAGCGGGTGGGGCTCGGGCTCGAGCCTATGTACCTGTACAGCGCGTCGCTCTCGACGAAAATCTCCATCGCCTCCTATGGCGGGCATAGCACGCGGGCAATCAGAAATGCTGATCAGAGGCGACGGAAACACCAAAGTGAGCGGGGCACCCACGACGATACGGCCGCATCTCAGCCTGCCGCCGCAGGCGAGCAATCTGTAGTTTTCCAAAGGCGAGTGGTTTTTTAGATGCGGTAAGTGGTAATACCTAGTACTCACAGCGGAGCACAACATATTTCAGTACGGCATGTTTCACGAGATACGGCGGACTCACCAGTTTCGTAGGCGTTGGCACTGTTCAGAGAGACCGTCGCCGAATGTCATGTGAGTAACCGAGTCGGAGGAAGCGGTCAGACCGGCTTGGAGACGTATGCACACGAGATTGGCCGAGCAGAAGCCGATCACCCAATGTCTGAATCTAGTGGTGTACTATACACTATGTCCGGGAGTGGCGGTGGCGAGCTCATACACGAGCGCAGAGGTTGAAAGATGCTGCGCTGCTCAGGCAGGAGTCGTTCAAACTTCACTGTGTGTCAGCTCGACATTGACTATCGACGAATGGAAAACACCTAGTCAATCTCTAAGGGCTGCTTTGTCTGACTTTAGTGTCCCCCCTTTGCTGGGCTGAGACCATTAACGAGAATCATAAGTCTAGGGCCGAGGTAACCACTGGTCTCTGTCAATTAATGGCAGGATCGCGGCCCCGCCTTTTTGTATTAGCGCCCGACGCCGACGTAACGGCGCTGTTCACTGAGATCTAGATCTACAGTCTCTCTCTCTCTCCTCCAGCAGGTCAAACTCAGGACCCAGGTTTGGCTTGGTGCCTAGTTCTCTTATACTACTACTAGCCGCTCTGGGAGTATCTTTGGGTATTGGGATAGTTTGCGGCCACCTTTGACTTGCGAGTTTCGCCAAGAGAGTCTACAGCCACTAGAACGATGACAAGCAGACTCAAGCGGAAGCTCAACGACCTCGGGGTGGACACCGGTAGCTCAAAAGCCAACGAGTCGTTCTGTCTAGTACGCATATGGGCCCTCTGCGGGATATGCGATGTGTCTGACTGAGAAGTATAGATTGGAACACCCTTGCCGCCGCTCGAGAAATCAAAGGATACCGGGGAGTTCGTGCCATTGTGGAAGCAAGACGTAGGCCGTGCTATCCATGCCTCTCAAAAGTCGTTACTTATTCCCAACATCAGGTCAGGGATGAGAAAGGCCGGCGCCGGCTGCACGGAGCGTTCACGGGAGGGTTCTCCGCGGGATACTTCAACACTGTCGGTTCGAAAGAGGGTGAGTTCAGAAGCCGTACAGGTGTACATCTTCCTTACACGCTCGGTGGGATGCGCTAGGATGGGCCCCATCTACATTCGTCTCCTCAAGGAATGAGCGCGCAAAGCAGAAGGCGGCGCGGCCTGAAGACTTCATGGATGAGGAGGACATAGCGGAGCTGCGCGAGAGCCGGAAGCTTGTCGACGAACATGAAGAGATGGACTTTGGTGGTACGGCCGCCGAGAAGCGAAAGCAGCAGGCGGGTACCGCGGAACAGGAGTGCGTATTCCCGTCGCCGTACGAATCGCCTGCATCTTAAGCTTATTTCCCAGCCCCATATCCGCCGCGCTAGCTGCATCGCTTGCGCCGGCACCTAAGGATTCTATGGGTGCGCAAATCCTCAAGAAGATGGGCTGGCGACCAGGCCAAGGTATCGGTCCGCGGGTTACGCTCGCACAACGCAAACGTCAAGACGCCGGTTTCCTTGACCCGTCCAAGGAAGTCGACGGCGAAGAAGACGATATCGAGGAGGCCAAGAAACATATGTATCCCAGGCGGGACATTCCCGTCATCATTGCCCCTCGGAAGGACAACTTTCACGGGCTGGGCTATTCGCCTGGTCTTGGGCTGAACGAGAGTCTAGGTCAGGCCGCCCGCGGTGGGGAAGGTCAGGCCGGGCCGTCGATATCTGGTTGGTACTTCCCTCATTGACAGTCAAGACTTTGCTAATAGTGGCCTAGCTGGCTTCGGGCTGGGTGCATTGAATGACGCTGACGACGACGATGTCGATATCTATGATGCCGGCGCGGGGTCGGGTCGTTCCCGCCTCGCTTTCGATGATTCTCTCGGTGACGATGACCAGTACATCAGCATCGGGTCCAGCTCTCGACGACAACCCTCATCACGAGAACCTGTAGGTCGATGCACATTCCTGCACCCGCTCGTCTCGCTGACGCTCTTTGACAAGAGGGTACCTCCCGGAATCACGCAGACTTTCCACGATGGCACACCGGTGCTGAGAGGGTTTGTATTGTCGGGCAAGCCTGTGGCTGAGGACAGATGGTAGGTGTATTCAGCACATACCGCCTAGCTGTTTGTAATGACGAGGCGTAGGTTCCCTCTTCCTAAGATACCGCCTGGTTGGAAGCCGGACCCACGCCGGGTGTGGGAGCAGGAGAAGAACAAGGAGAATCAGCCAGCAAGTGCGGACCAGACAAAAGCTGAGAGCCTGCTACCATCATCGCATGCAGCATGGAAACGCAGTCAGCTTTCCGCCGATGAGGTCAGTCGCCTACCGCGCCTATACTTCCGACCTTTACTTACAATCCGTGTTTTCCAGCGAGGCAATATGCTAGGCGAGACGCCTTTACCAGCGAAGACACGTTCCGTCTTCGACTTCATGTCTCAGAAAGACCGAGAACGCCTCGAGAGCATCCGGAACCTGAAAGCGGATCCCTCTGCGCCCCCTGCTCCCCGACCGCCCTCCCCCGACCGCCCTCCGCCCCCGCCGACCGCTCGCGGCATCCCCCACCTCCACCCATCCGTAGCGAAAGCCGCGCTGCAGGGCTTCAAGCCCTTCGCCGCAGACGCTGTGAAACAGTCCCGCTACACCGCATTCCTCAACTCCCAAGCCAACCACGTCGCCGGTGACCCTGTCAACAGCGTCGGCTTCGGCCCGCTCCCTGGCCAGAGCACAGACGAGTACTACAAGGAGCTCGAGGACTACGCGAAGTCCGCGGCGGTCTTCAAGCCGCTCTCGGGCGCGATGGCGGGTCGCTTCCGCAGCGCCGTCATCATCGAGAACGGCCCTACTGTCATCGAAGGCCTGCACCAACCGGAGCCTGCCGCAGAAGGGGCCGACGACGATGGCGAGGCCGCGGAGGAGAAGGCGGAGGACCCGAAGATGGGCGCGGTACGGCTGGGCATGTTCGGTCCCCTCACGCGCGAGGTCAAGCCGTGGCAGCCTGCGCGCCTTCTGTGCAAGCGCTTTGGGGTGAAGGACCCCGAGGTGGACTTAACGGGTCCTGCGGGAGAGGCGTCTGAAGGATTCGAGTTCGCGACGACCGCGGCAAGGAACGCTGCGGATGCGCCCGTAGGCGGCGCCGGGGAGAGTACTCCGGGGACCGCGCCTTTGATGCTCACGTCTGGGTCAGGTGCAGACGTGGGCGCAAGCGGACGCAGGAGTGGCCCGCGGAACCTGACGAACATCGGTCTCGGCGAGGATGATACGCAGGGACAGGAAATCCTCACGTACGAACGGCCGGCCATGGATGTCTTCAAGGCGATCTTCGCAAGCGACGACGAGGACAGTGACGATGAACCGGAGGTCGCTGCTAAGGCGGAGGAGAAGACGCCCGCGCCGCTCGACTTTTTCGGCACGGCGGAGCCTGCTGCGAAGGCGAAGACCGCTACGCCGCCTCCTGCACCCCTTCCGAACGCTCCGCTAGAGAAGGTGGACCTTGCGACGTTCAAGCCAACCTTTGTGCCTCGCTCGGAGCGCGAGTCGCGGAAGGGCAAGAGCTCGGACAAGAAGGACAAGAAGAGCAGGGACAAGAAGAAGGCGAAGACGGCGCTCATGTCGTTCGACGTCGAGGATGACGGAAGCATCCCGAGCTTTGGTCCGCCCGCCGCGAAGGCGGGACGCGATGGTGAGCCGAAGAAGAAGAAGCGGAAGACGCGAGAGGAAGAGGACAACGGCGACGACGCGATGTGGGTTGAGAAACCCGCACCGGACGTCGTGAAGAACCTGTCTCTGCCACCCGCACTACCACCAGACACCTCCGAGGGCACGCCTCCCGCCGGCCATGGCAACGAGTCTGGGCCGCCGAGGGGCCGGAAACGGGCGATAGACTTCATGTAGGACTGCTACTAGCATACTAATCCCACTATAATGTATCACATGTTGTATTTATACCCGTCTACTCTTCATCGGAATCACTGCCGTCCTCGTCTTGACTCGCGCCTTCCTCTTCGTGCTGAGGTTCCCACTCGGGTTCCTGCTCAGCCTCCTCTTCGTCCTCACGTTTCCGTTTGCCCGCAACGGGCGTGGACGTCTCCGCCGCGTCACCCTCGGCGAGAGCGACACATGTAAGCCGAGTACCCTTCGTGTCGTACTCCGCGACGGGCTCTAGCTGTGTCCGCTCCTCCGACGAAACGGGCAGGGCAGCAAGATCGAACAGACGAACTTTGCCGTCTGAGGAGATGGTGCAGACCACGGTGGTCGACGAGCGGCTGGCGCCCTCGGGTAGCGCGACGCGGATAATGTCTACAGCCTTTACGCTGAAATATTAGGTCAGATACTGCGTGCCGCGAGCGTCAGTGCACAGAGGCCTACCGGTTCGCATGACCAACCATATCCGCGATGATAGTTGGGACCTTTTCGTGGTCTTTGGGAACGTCGTATATAGACAGCTTCTTGTCCTCTCCACCAGCGAGAAGAAGCTCGCCGTCGCCATCGACGCGCTTGCAGAACTTGATGTCGTGGAGACGGGAGGGGTGGGTGAGGGTGTGGAGCAGCTCCATGTCCTGCAGAGCAATCAGGGTCAGCATACCGTGGCATACGAGGACCGGGGTTTGAACTGACTGTAGAGTATATATCGATCGTATTTTGCGCCTGTACGGCGAAGAGCGAGCCATCCGTCGACCACCGAACGAGCTCGGCCTCTGAGAAACTATGAGAATCGACTCGCAACTTGCTTAATTTAGCACACACACCTTTGCCAAGCTTCGTGCTCGCGGATCCCTTCCCTCGCATCAGATCCCACATGCGCAGCGTCCTGTCCTTGCCTACGCTCAAGGCGACTTTGCAGGACTGATGAACGGCCACAGAATTGACGCGGCCCTTATGACCTTTCAACGAGCGTAGCACTGCCCAATCGCGCGCACGGAAGAGGGATAATGTGCCGTCTTCCGAAGCCGAGAGTAGGTGTGATCGCGAAGGGAACTCGAGGTGCGTTATGGATCCTGCAAGACATGTCAGTTTGACCGAGCTGCCGAAACGCGGTAATGGGAAAAGGGCGTACCTTCGTGGTGCATAAGACCGCCAATCTCTTTCCGTCTGCGCAGATCCCACACCTTGATGATCTCATCTGCACTCCCAGTTGCCAACCACTTCCCTCCTTGCGGAGAGGCCGCCACAGACTTGATACAAGATACATGAGCAGGGAAGATGAATATGGGGGCGATTTGGAAGCTGTAGGCGGATTCCTCGCAGGAAACGGTGCCCTCCAGTCCGTAGAGAAGCTTTTCGTAGGAACCGCAGACGATTTTGAAGGAAGCTGGCAGTGGAGAGGTTGACGAGCTAGGGTCGGTCACCGCGGATGTCGCCTTCTTCTTCTTGAGTTTGGGCTTGAGCTCGGCTGCCGCCTCCCGCTGCTTGCCCTTCCCCTTGCTAGGCGCGGTCTTGGGAGTATCGGAGTCCGGGCGTGCCTTCTCGCGTACGGCGAGCTTTTTCTTGGTGGAATTTGGCAGCTCGGTGCCCACCCTCGCCTTCTTGAGGATAGGTTTTGGGAGTGCGCCCTGTGTAGAGGATGTGCGAGCGGACATGGGTCGAGTTCAGCGTCGGAGGTCAAGGTGTCTGCCACAAATTTTTCCGAAACAGGCAATCGCGGCGTACGGTAGGTTGTGACTACTTTCTGTGACGCGGCCCGGATATCCGTGGCAGTCTGTGACCCCCATCACATCTCTCGCGTTGGCGCGTCCACCGAGTTCGCGTTTGCCTTCGACCATGCTCTCTCGCTCGTCACCAAAGCGTTGCAGGCTCTCTAGGCTCCCTCACCGTCTGCGTCGGAATGCATCATTGCAGGCGTCTACTGCCGCTGTGAATGCGATTGTCAGCAATGCGACGCCCTTCTACCCATCATCCTACCCCTCATCGAGCACCGGACCGCTGGCGGGCATGTCCATCGCGGTGAAGGACAATATCTGCACCAAGTACTACCCTACTACGTGCTCCTCGCGCATGCTCAAAGACTGCGAATCCCCCTTTGACGCGACTGTTGTGTCGCTGCTCTCGGATAATGGCGCCGGGATCATGGGCAAGGCCAACTGCGATGAGTTTGGCATGGGGTAAGCACTTTCATGTTTCGGCACCAGTCCGTTTTTGAATGCGCCTCAGCTCTCTGAACGTGCACTCGGTGCATGGCCCGGTAATCAACCCCTTTGGACTAAGGAAAGGCCAGGCAGAACTTAGGTCTGCAGGTGGAAGCTCTGGAGGCAGCGCTGCGGCGGTCGCAGCAGGTCTTTGCGATGCGTACGTATGTTTCTCCTTCCCATAATTACGACTCTGAAATTCTTGTGAAGTATAGTGCCCTCGGAACCGACACAGGGGGTTCTGTACGGTTGCCCGCTTCCTATTGCGGCGTAGTTGGCCTCAAGCCTTCTTACGGCATCGTCAGCCGGTACGTCCATGCCAATCTAAACGGTGCACGCACTCTAACGCTGGCATCTATAGATGGGGCGTAGTCTCGTTTGCTGACAGCCTTGACTGCGTCGGGGTTTTAGCAAGGGATGTCTCCACAGTCAGACGCGTGCACAGTCAGTCATCCTTGAATAACAGCATGCTAGACGACGCCTGACCGTGGTTCTAGACCCTATCGCAACCTACGATGCAAGAGACCCTACGGCAGCATCACCCAAGATCAGGGGTCGTGCAGCGCAAATGTGCGCCGACCGCCTAGAGGCTTTCAAAGATGGTGACTATACCGGTTTGCGAATAGGCATTCCCCAGGTATGTGCACCCCTCGCTCTCCTTGAATTATCTTGACTTTGCTTCGCATATATAGGAATATTTCCCTTCGGAGCTGCAGACCAGCGTCGTGGACTCCCTGAAGCGGGTGCTGGACAAGCTCCAGGCGAGGGGAGCGACTCTTGTGCCGATATCGTTACCATCGACACAGTACGCACTCAGCGCATACTACGTGATCTCGAGCGCAGAGGCCAGCAGCAACCTCGCACGTTATGATGGCATTGAGTATGGTAAGCCTTTTGTGGACGCTGTGGGGCTCAAAGTCTCAACATATACACAGGTTTCCGCGCATCCCTACCACCCGGGACTGACATGACCAAAACTGCGAATGTTTACGCCGAAACTCGGTCTCAAGGATTCGGGAAAGAGGTCCAGCGTCGCATATTGCTAGGTGCATACGCTCTTTCCGCGGAGTACGTTGCTTTTTCCTTTTTGCATTCTCTACGTTCGGTATAAACTCATTGACATCCCGCGCAGCGCGTTTGAGAACTACTTCCTCAAGGCGCAGCGCGTCCGCAACCTCATCAAGGCGGATTTTGACCGCGTCTTCTCTCTCCCCAACGCCCTCCGCTCCGCGTCATCACAAACTGCCCCACCCGATGGTCAAGGCGTAGACGTCATCATCCATCCCTCTGCGATACAGACCGCGCCCCCCTTGCCCGACAACACCGCGGATTCCTCGTCTGATTTGTCGTCGCTCGATGCGTACGTGCAGGACGTTCTGACCGTGCCGGCGTCTCTGGCTGGACTTCCCGCACTGAGCGTCCCTGCGGGCCAAGGTTCCGATGGCTGGCCAATCGGCGTCAGCATAGTTGGGCAGTGGGGTGCTGAAGAGATGGTGCTGAGGGTGGGTGAGGCGATCGAGAAATGTCACGCCGGTCCTCTGTAGGTAGCGCAGGCGCTTAGCACCATCGTTGTCCCCATGCTGCATGACGCTCGCTCGCGGTTCGCGATTGAAAAGTATGCGTAACTGTTGGGCGGCTCCCTCAGCGCCCATATCTCCATCGTTACTCGTTCCAAGGAAGACCTTGTGGTTTGTGATGTGAATGTGAGTGTGGTCGCTCATTAATATCAACCTCCCAGAAAGCGTACCGCTAACGCATGCACATCCAGGAATCGGTTTATACGAATGCAGTAACACCCTTGTGTCTGTTGTGGGCGTTGCACGGTACTCCCTACACGCTCTCGGTGCGTGGTGGTCAAAGGCTACCCGGCACGTCGTACAGAACCACCGTGCTTGGAACGGGCAGCATCTACTACAACCTCTCATAGTGATTGCACATGACGCTCGGGATAGCATAAGTGCGAGGTCTATCACAGGACACGCCCTTCAACGACGCGTACCGTTCTGCTCTCATTGAACTACCTCGATGTCTCACGAGAAACCGGAGTCGATCGAGCTCCCTGCCACCCCGGTCGACATGGGCCCTTATTGCACATCGGCCCCAGATGAGATACCTTTTCGGGTCGGTGTGTTCTGGGCGGTAGAAAGATGTCGGTAGCCTCTTCAAGTAACGGTGAGTGCGATCCTGAGCAAACTTGCACTCTGCCTTGCTCGCAAACGGGACTCACAGCGGCGATCTTTGTATCTTCACAGCGCAGCTTTTACAGACGTCAAGGTGCCTCAGCGCGCAGGCAAGGAGCAGGCGAGTCGGCGTGCGCTGTGCAGCCCTGGGTATCTTGACAGTCTTCGCAGCCTACATAATCGCTGCACAGGGCACAATTCTGGTCTCCGTACACTCAATCACCGCCTCTCTCGCTCGCTGCAGTCCGCTCCTCACACCATGACCGACGCAGGCTCGAAGACCCAGTTCGACCTCGACATCTCGGGCGTAGCCGGCTTCTTTGGCGGCGACGTCTCGGTCTCCGCGATGGCGACCGTGCACATCTACGAAGGGCGCAAGTGGCTGGGATGGTACAACCAGCCCGGCAGCTACGAAATTGCCAAGCGCTACGGCCAACTTAGTCGCTCGCGGTTCTGGGACGCCCTTTACCCTGGCGTCAACGTCGACCCTGCGGTACTGTTCGAGTACGACGGAGGCGACGGACCCAAATTTATTGCGACCCAATCTGGGACGGTGCTCCAGAAGACAGGCCACGTCGCCAACCTCTTCGCGAGCACATGCAGTCATCTGGAGCCCATCTCTCCCCAGGGCATCGTGATGCGGAAAACATCGCCCGGGTTCGTGACCATCGCCCAACTCGATCATATTCCTGTCCCGAACGACATCACCCGAAAGAATGGCATCTACACCAGCATCCTAGCCAGCATTCCTATCATCGTCTCTCTCGGTGCGTGCGTGGGGTGCGCCTTCATCCGCGACTGGTACTGCTTCGCGATCATCCTCTTCGGCGTGGTCAGCAGCGGCCTGTCGTGCTTCGTGATAGGGCTGGGAACCCTGCGCTTCAAACACCCTCCTCCAGCACGCGGCGCGCCTCCGGGAGACGGAGTGCTCGAAAGCGGCGGCTCGGAGCTGGTCATTGTCAAGGGTCCGGAGGGCGCGATCAACGCAGTCACGCGCGGGCACTTCTCGCTGGACTACGACAGCAAGCCCAAGTACCACAGCATCGGGGTGTGCTCTATGCTGCTCACGCTGCAGTTCATCGTCCAGCTGCTGCTCATCCCGCAGAGCTCGCTGCACGGCCAGCTGTTCTTCCTCGCCACGCTTGCGTGCGCATGGGCGTACAATTCGTACCTCGCATCGTTCGATCGCGCAGGGATCCAGCGTGCGATCCTCAGCGAGCAGGTGCTGGAGCTCAAGGAAGGCCAGCTGAAGCGGTACCGGCTCGGCACGCGGACGGCGATGGTCACATTCGCGCTGCTGCTCCTAGCGCCGGCGCGGGAGGACGCGCTCACCCGAGTGCTGAACGACCTGCTCCCGAACGACACCGAGGTGTGGCGGGTGTGGAAGTCCGAAGTCCTGGCGCGCATCGCTGCCCATTTCCCGCTCGACGGCCCAGAGAGCGACAAGGAGTTCAGCTTCGGGTTTCCGGAGAAGACACCCCCACCCGACTCGGACTGTCCGGATGATCTGTTGCAGACCATCTACAACGACGCGACGTCTGGCGCGGCTGTGTACAACTTCTACCGAAGGTGAGTCTTCCGGCTCTGCTCCGCCGCCGTAGGCGAACAGATGACGGAATAATGCTTGGCTTTGAAGCGGTTTGCGGCCGGGCGCGACCGGTCCCGCCGAGTCATGCCGCAGTAGCACCGTGGCTCCCAGCTCGTCCAGGTTCACCACTATGTTCCGCCGTGGTCGGAAGGAGGAGAGCGAAGCGTAGCAGGGTGCGGTGCGGTGGCGGCCGCGTTCAGACGATGAACTTTGCCGCCGCGGTGCAAGTCCTCCGACAGCGCGCTGGGACCACCGATCTACCCCTCGTCGGTTACCCAACATTCGCCGCCGCCGCTCTGTGCCACACACGCGCACAGCATTCGATTCTCGGAGACTGCGTTATTTCCGCCGCAGATCCTAATAGGCGTCGCATCGTCAGTATTGGGATACTAGTATGTATGGCTGTGTATGGGCTGAAACTCGAGGCCTTGGGCTCACGAGGGAAGGCATACCGGTGATGTTGGACTGATATGAATATGTTCCTCCGTGGCGTCGGAGACAGGTGGAGGCTGCACACGACTCTTCTTGGCGAACTTATACCAGGAAGGCCTCGAGGATTACTATGTGGAGCAGTGCGCTAGTATGCGTTTGTCGCTATGTTTGATTTTATTTGACAGATTCCACAGCCATTGGCTGGCACGAGAGCAGTGGTCAGAAAGAGGTTTACCATTTCAACTGGCCCCACACTATTCGGGGCTCCGCGTGAGTAGAGCGCATACGGAGAGCGGAGAACGATGCATGTCCGAGAGCGCAGTGCATATTGAGCGCCTACTCGGTGCGTACTAGTTGTAGGCGCCCATATGTAGAAGTCGAACTCGATTCGGTTACGTCACTAGCGTTCACTTGGACTCATCCGCTCACCTGCCCACCTGCACCATGGAAACCATCCTTTCCAACAATTCCTCACATTGCTCTATGTTCCTGAGTGTAGAAAGCTCAAGCACAGGAATACAGAGGAACACTGGCTGTGTCTCTAGAACATCTGTCTTGAAGGTGCCGAACCTCGGCGAAGCCACCCTCTGGACGCTGAGATGCAACAGCCTTCAGCCAGAGTGACATATGATGTAACCACGGGACGTACATTCACTGAAAAAGTCTTGGCTGGTGCCTTCGCGTATGTAAAGGACGCCGAGTTACAGCGACGCAGGCAAGTTCTCCTCTAAAGGCGGTCAGAAGTCCACGTTAATGTTCTCCAGTCCCCCGATTACGCCCTGCCCCGGAACTTTCTCCCCAGGCTGTGTCGCAGGATTTCATAGATGCCACAGGGCCATATGCCTCCATATGCGCCTTGTGGGACCGCGCTTCGCGGACGTTTGATCACGGCGTTCGTCGCGCTGGCCACATGTCCACCCGCAAGCGCCCTGGTGTCCAGATGGCTTCCCGAGACTCCCAGCCAGCGTCGCAAAAAGTCCTCCGTGGGACGTACGAACTGCGCGCGGTGTCCATGCGGCGGGGCACATCGCGCCCTCGGTTCTTCGGCGGCGTGCTGCACGCGACCCGCTCGTCTTCGCTGTCAGCCTGCCGCCGAGGCTGTCCTGGCTGCGCGCGACGGCGGAAATTTTGCGCGGCCGCGGACGGATCTCTCAGGGCGCGCCGACTTCTCGCTGCGTCACCGTGAGTCGAGGCTGCCGAAATCTTCGCGCCCGGGACCCACAGGCCTCGCGCGCGCCCCGGAAGCAAACGCGGCCTTTTGGACCCACGGCCCTCGTCCGATTCGGTGGTCGGTGAGCGTCCCGCTGTCCGCATCGAAATTTGAGACTTGTGCGATGTATCTTCACTCGTGCGGCGAGTATAATTTTAATGGTCTTCTCTGACATCTCTTCCAGATCGCAGTTTTACTTCCAGATTCGAGAAGTTCTAGACGCACGCGTATGTCGGAGAAGGACGGGTGTTGAGAAGCCCCCGAAGCTTCTCGGGCGAACATCCAAATGGTGCGTTCTACGTCCCCGCGCGCCTCGTCGGGTTCGATTCGTCAAAATCAAATGCTACTCGACGGTGCGCCTCGGTCTCGCTCGCTCGAGGCGGGAGTAGCAGCAGCGAATAGGTACGCTGGCTTATCAGCATTGTTTGAATCAGTGAATGTCGCAGATCAGGAAGCATCAGGTTGACAGTGACAGAGGGCCTATCTGTCTCTCCATTAATCCGGTCCCTATGCAACGTACCTGGCGCCGGAATATCGATTGTCGCGCCATGCGGGGCAGTCCATATATAGCGCTGTGCGCTGCCTTCGCAGTATGGTTGTGGTGCACCTGGGATGATGGTTCGCCGTATTGGGGGTTACTACAGGACGGGATTTCTGTCGAGTACTCTATTTGCGTTGGGAACTGTGAGTTTTTGTGGATCCCTGATCTTTCGGGCGGGCAACCCCACGGGATCGTGCACAAATTCTGACGGTCGGCGGTCGCTGCTATAGCAGTCAGGTCATGCAGATGCAGGCACCCCCCTTGGAGTATGACCTTGCCGATCTCAGGACTCAGGAGAGTGCGCTGAGGCGCATGAATCGGTAACCAAGGCTAAAAGCACAGTCTCTGATGACGGAAAGAGCACATTCCGCCGTGCAGCTGTTGTTAGTAAATATTGCTTTGCATGGGAGGACTTCCATTGCTTCCCTCATTCGTTACAAGTACAGTTCCGCATAAGTCGTGGTTCCGTGGCACACGACGGCTTCTCAGCTGAAGTTCTACTCCAACGAAGAAGCACATGCAAGAATGGGCGTACTGCGAGAGCAGAGGCTAACAAGCCGATAAGCGTCACCAAGCGGCCGTCGCAGCGCGATAAGGGGCCGCCACATATATATACCGTTCACGTCGGTCTTGGTGTACCCTTCTTCCCGCAACGTGCTGCCACAGAGTTCCACCCTCAAGAGACTATGCCATACCCACGCGATCCTCACGCCGTTGAGCGCAGATGTCGTTAATCCCACGGATGCTATACGCATATCACGGGTCGTGGGCGTTGGCGCAGTTCCCCCGAACGTCACGGTCTGTCAACGTCGGTGCGGCGGTCCGCGCGCGTTTCTCATGCATAGCAGTAGCCACCTGCGCTGCGTGTACACTGCCTGTATGTTTCAACAGCCAACTATGCCAGGTCGTGCGCCTACTACGTCGTTCTGTTCGACGTACACACCCGACGGTCAGGGCAGCTGGAGTTGTGGAGTGCCTGGGGGTGCATCAAGCGGTGGCACGGCTGTCAGTCCGGATCGAGACAGATCTGATGGGGATCTCTGGTACTGCGATCGCGGGACGTGGGGAAGGGCGGCAAATCCAGTGTGCCTGGGCTTCGGGGTCGGCCCCCAGCGACTCCTCATCCGAGTATTCTGGCAGGTCGTGCGCCACTTTTCGCCGACTCCGAGCTCTCTTCCGAGCCGTCGCTGCCCGTCTCGCTACCGTACCTCCGCCGCTCTGCGAGCGATACAGTATCTCGATACATACGATAGTTTGGCGAGTGGTCCATCGCAAAGTGATGTCGGCTAGGGAGCATTAGCAGAGTCTGGAGAAAGCGCGGGCGTCAAGGGGCCACTCGGCGAGGGTTTTCTTGACGCGATCAATCAGAGGCTTATCGGTGGCGTCCACAAGCTCTCCCGGGTCCTTATCTTCCGCGTCGCTCGATTTGGAAGTCGCCCACCGGGAGTGTGCCGGCCGGTATAAACCCTCGAATCCGTCTGGAGCTTACCGAGCCTCTTCTCTCCACGCCCATCCACCTGAGGTCGGGTCCTCCACCTCCGTTCATTAAACCCGTGCGCGGCTCCAAGCGCCTCATATCCCCCCTCCTCCTCCCACCCGCTGCCCGCCATGTCGCAGTCCAAGGACTACGACGACAAACATGACCAGACGAGCTCTGTCGAGAAGGGCGTCGTCCACGACTATGTCGTTACGGATACCGACAACCGCTACCACTTCGACGCGGCCGACCTTGACCGCGTCCAGCGGAAACTCAAGCAGCGTCATGTCCAGATGATTGCGGTGAGCTCCCGCCGCGACATGTATCTCTTGTTCATCGAGTGCTGACGATGGATAGATCGCTGGTACCCTCGGTACTGGTCTTTTCCTTGGTTCAGGGCACTCGCTTCAAGCCGCAGGACCGCTAGGCGCACTAATTGCATATGCCCTCGTCGGCACCGCCGCCTACTCCTCCCTCTGCGCTATCGGAGAGATGACTTCGCATGCGCCCATTTCTGGTACCTTCCCTCATTTTGCTGCGCGGTGGGTTGACCCCGCGTTTGGTTTCGCTGTTGGGTGAGTGTTATGATTTTTCTTCCTGTTGCAAATCTCTCATCCCCTGCAAGCTGGAACTACTTCTATACCAACGCCATCTCTGTACCCGTCGAGATCACTGCTGCCGGTATCCTCCTTACCTTCTGGGACGCCGATGTGCGTTTTTTTTTCAAACTTTTCTCGTTTGATCTCCTCTGACATGACGCCCTCATTTTTATAGAACAACCATCAAGCCGCCTACACTGCTGCTATTTGCGTCTTGGTCTGCGCTATCAACATTTTGGGAGTACGATGGTTCGGTGAATCGGAATTCGTTTTCTCGATCATCAAGCGTGCGTCCTTCTCTTCCCGCCCTTTTGACGTCCGCTCACTGTCTTCCAACCGCAGTCCTCCTGATCACGATCCTCATCATCACTGGACTCGTGATTGACCTCGGAGGTGGCCCCAAGCACGATCGTCTTGGCTTCCGCGTGAGGCTTCTTGCCGTTGATATCGCCCCTGGACGCAGGTCTCGTGTGGGCGCCGTTTGCGCGAGTTTACTGACAATTATCCTTCCTCAGTACTGGAAGAACCCTGGACCGCTTAATGGCGCCGGGCTCGTACCGCAGCACAAGTCTCTTGACCAGTTCCTTGGTATCCTTTCGGTGATTGTGCAGGCGGCGTTCTCGTTCCAGGGTATGGAGCTTGTCGCAATGTATGTGTTTGCGTTCTTTCACTTCTCGGTAAAAACTGATGTCCCTGTTCAGTGCTGCGTCCGAGACGATCAGCCCCCGCCGTAACATCGCGAAGGCCGTTCGCCGTGTGTTCTGGCGTATTTTGCTCTTCTACGTATGTGCCGTTCTCCTCGCGCTGCCGATATAACTCAACCTTCCTTCGCACAGATGCTCGGTGTCCTCATCACCGGCATGCTCGTACCATACAACGACGATTCGCTGCTGCATTCGACCGGCACGGCCGCCGAGTCACCATACGTTATTGCCATGACCCGTGCTGGTATCAAGGTTCTTCCCCACATCATCAATGCCGCTATCTTCACCTCCGCCTTCTCCGCCGGCAACTCCTACCTGTTCTGCGCATCCCGTGTCCTTTACGGTCTCGCGCTCCGTGGTCAGGCACCCAAGATCTTCACCTACTGCACCAAGGGCGGTCTCCCTCTCGCTGCCGTCCTCGGTTCCAGTGTCTTCGCTCTCCTCTCGTTCATGAACGTCGCGAGCGGTGCGGCAACCGTCTTCAACTGGTTCGTCAACTTGTCCACCGTTGGCGGTTTCTTCGGCTGGCTGTCGATGAACATCACCTACGTCTTCTTCTGTGAGTACCCGTCACCTGAAAATGTACATTGGCATGGCTGACACATCCCAAAGACCGCGGCATGCGTGCGCAAGGTCTCGACCGCACAAAGCTCATCTACCACAGCAAGCTGCAGCCCTACCTCGCGTACTGGGGTATCGGCTGGATCACCTTCTTCATCCTCATCAACGGCTTCGCCGTCTTCTGGGACTTCAACGCCGCTGGCTTCCTCACGGCCTGTAAGTGGTGCTTCCGTCGCAGTGCGCGAAATATGTTATTCACAGCGTGTTCGCAGACCTCAACATCCCCCTGTTCTTCATCCTGTACTTCTCGTACAAGATCATCAAGCGCACGAAGATCTGGAAGCCCCATGAAATGGACTTCGTCACCGTGAGTTCCCCGTCCCCATCCGCACATCGCCTAGTTCTCACACCCGCGCGCAGGGTATCCCCACTGTTGAGGAGACTGAGGTCCCCGAAGAGCCCCCAAGGACCTTCGGCGAAAAGGTGTTCAACATCTTGTTCTGAGCCGGGCGTTTGCTCTTGCCTGTGCTTGCTGGTCGCGATGTCGTGTGCTGTCGTGTAATGACGTCGATGAGTTGTGCGTTTAGTACCCCGTTGTCTGTGCTTGCCCTACCCAGGGCCTAGTGTATAATCTACGATATCCCCAATGCTGATTTAAAACTCTCGCGCGCGCGTGCGACTTTGAGATACTGTTTATGTCGCTCGCGCCGTTGGACCTGTTGGCGGCAGGTGAGTCGGAAATAGGGCAACGAGATGTTTTGTCTATGGGCGATCTGATTGGATGCAGGTCCTGGGTTAGGGTTAGCACGGGCGTTACAGCACGATCTTGTGTTTTACCGTCACACCGCAACGTCCTCGCCCGTCCCGGGTCTCGGCCACTCTCGCCTTTGGACCCACATCTCCTATTTTCCAGATCCATCTCGAGACTCGGATCCCCTCTGCGTCCGACGTGCAGAACGTCGCAGAACGCCGACCGGCATTTGCATTGCAGTCGGACTCGGCGCCGCCATCGTCCTCGACGTTTGCTAATATTCCCTTTTTGCTGGTTCAATGTTCAACCGTCTGCCCGCAGTTATTCTTCATCCCGAGAGAGACCCCGGGACTCTCCTCGTCGGATTTCGGGTGGGCAAGCGTCTGCGTTCGGGATGACTCGGCCTCATGGGCTTGCAGTCGCTGCGCTGGCCGCTCGCCGCACCGTTCGTTGGCAACTCGATGGTGAGCGAATGTATCTGTATTTCAAGTCGAGCTTAGGCTTACTCATCCCGCGGCCGGGTGTATCGTTGTAGCGCACTCGTGCCACGAGTTACCCGTCCTCGTTTGCGGGGAACATAGACTCCTTAGGCTTTAGCCTGCACACGAGGTTGAGATCAACGTGGTGCGTTATAGAACAACGCAGGCTTGTTCCGTTTACGCTTCAAGGAGTCTGACTGAAACAACGACTAGATTGCAGGGCGGTCTCGTCCGAGCGACGCCGTCACCGTATGCAGACTGGGAAGCTACAATGGCGGGCCCTTAAAGTACAACCTCGTCTCGTCGCCCTCTACGAAGGCTACATGCGGCATCCGGTACACCCACATTTCTAGCCTTGGAGGCGCCTCTGGTACGCCCTCGCCTGTTCCCCAGACGAGTTCATCGTACCGCCGGCTAGCCCACCCAAACCACAGGCAGCAATTGAGATGGTGCAGGTATTGAGCCTGCCTCCGTCGCTCGCGCTGCTCTTCCACCGGCTCCTCTTCTATGTCCCACATGACATTCGCACTGGCCTTCCGCTTCCGCCACGGTGCGATCAACTCCTTGAACGGGTCGTACCCGTCGTCCTCGTCTTCGCCTTCGTCCTCGTCTTCGCCTTCGTACCCGTCCTCGTCTTCGTACCCGTCCTCGTCTTCGTCCTCGCTCGCATCCACCGCAGAGAGGTCTGGGTCAGGCGTGGCGGCGGCGGCGGTTGGTTCCGAGGATGATGTCGTTACCTGTGTCTTCCGGAGTTCACTCAGTCAGTGATCCGTCGAGGACGCAGCACGAGTGGCTCAAGGTCGTCGACTTACCTCTGTATCAACATCCATGTCTTCTCGGTGGGCGGCCCAAATGCCCTCAGGGACCTCCTCTGCTTTGGTCGTCGTGGCCTGCTCGGCCATTACGTGTCGTACGTGTGCTCGATGTCAATGTCGGAGGGGGTGGGGACATACAGGTGCTGGTGATGACCTCCTTCCTCTCCCCCCTCGTCGCATTTATAAACGTCCTCGCGCGACGTGCTTGGACACTACTGCTCTCTTGCGGACCATGCTCTGCGTAAAAGCGAGCGAGCCTCGGGCGGAGTATGCAGCAAAGCTTCGGTACCCCGCATTGCGTCGAGAGGATGCGCCGGGGAGAATAGAGGGGCTGGAAGAACCATATCGGGGTGGGCAAAGCTAGTCCTAAGCACGAGGTGCGACCCAGTTTTATGGGCAGTCAGCGAGATCGAGCGGAGCCAGCATCTCATTCACCATTTAGGCGCCCGTTGGGATAACGATCGGAAAGTTCTCGCGCTGCGTCCGCTTACCTACAGATCTCACCAGCGGACCGTGCAAGCTCGATTAAGCACGAGGTATGCATGCCCCTGCTTGATTCTTGGCGTATTCTTACCGCAGAACCCCAGCTAATGACGAATTTACCCACTAGCAGCTCGGCGCCGGTCTGCTACAAGTTACATGGCCGCGAGAAGGAGCACGACGCGCGCAAAAACGTATGGGACAGTCGCTGCATGCTTTGATACAGCGCATCAGTACAATTGCAGCGGTGCGCCGCCGCTACGGCTCCAGGCTCGAATTTAGCGCCTTCTAGAACCCGGTCCGCACCAAGACCCGGTGCGTCAACCACGGTGCCTTCCCCCTCTCTGGTTCAAAAGCCGCTTTGCTTAAGTACTGAAGCAATGGATAGATTCCTGGGCGTCTTCCGACGGGGAGACGCCGTTGTATACAAGAAATACAACGACTGAATACAAGGCATCAACAACGCCCGCCATATACGGTCAGATCTCCGTGCGTTCTACTTCGCAATGTGGCCCGCTCCTTCTTCCATTTTCGGTTGCCCTCTTTGGTGGCTCTTCTTATAACTCTCTCGAACTTTTCGATTGAGCCAAAGCGACGACGAATCCCCCGGCGCGAGCAGCAGGGGGTTTACGGGCGCCGACGTCGCAGCTGTGTCCTCGGACGCATCACTGCCCTGCGCTGCGGCGGCGGGCGCGGGCGTGGAATCGGTTACAGAGGCTGCGGCTGGGGAGACGTGTCCAGCTGAGGGCGTGGCGCGCTGTTTGGGCCGTGATTCACCCGGTCAGCGATCCATTGAGACGCGATACAAGTGGCTCATAGCTGTGAACTTGCCTCTAGGGCGTCTCCTCGAACTCCTCCTCCCTTCTTCTCACCGTTCTTGGTGAAGCACCCCGATATATTCGTTAAGACGGTTTTGAGGCCCATCTCGGAGGTTGTGAATGCGCGACTGGGTTCGGTTTGGGGTGGAGAGTTTGCGGTTGCTGGTGATGACCGTCTCCTCCTCCGCCGCCGCGGCGTTATATCCCCATATTGCGCTATTTGCTTGGACCCGAGCCCTCGATTGCTACTTGACCAGCTCTGCTTCACAGACCAGCAAAGATCGTGCGGTACAGCTGGCCAAGCCTCGGGGTCGGACAATGTGTCGAAGGACGCGTCAGCGCGGAAATAGCGGTCTCACCGCCCGCTACCGCGTGGACTGAATCGTACAATGCGTCTAAAATGCTGCGGTACACGACAATGGTGTCCAAGGCGAACTCTTGCACAATTTACCCGCTTCCCCCCTTTCATCTGCCAATTAGGCGCCCGTTGCGGCACCATCGGAAGATTCTCGACCAGTGCCCGCTTGCTCCAGCTGCTTGGGAAGCGCATGCGAGACGGCGTTCAATGTGTATTGTGCATGGTCCTGCTCGACTCTTGGCAGATTTTGTCCGCGATACACTTGCAGATGTCGTGCATCGCACAGTGACATCAGCCCCCGGACCGCCTACCTTCCCGAGGCGAGGAGGATGTTTGCACACCGTGACTGACTAGGTACCTTTACTACTTCATCACTACATGCCTGGCGTATATCATGACTACCTGCGTAGGCTCATTTGCTCTGACTAGATCTTTAGCTTGCGTTAATGAAACTTCAACTAGATTATTGATAATATATCTGGGAGACGTTGTTCTAGACAACGAGCGAGAATACAAGGCAGCAATGATACAACACATCCGCAATGTTCATAAAGTAAGGCCAGACCTTCGAAAGCCCTCCGTCACAGCTTGAAATCACCTTTCCCCAGAATCCAGAAGTCCGGTTCTCCCCTGTCCTCAAAGAACTCCCAGAGGTCGTACTGCTTGTGGATTTCGACAGCCTCCCTCGTCTCACGCAACACATCCTCGAACGTCCCCTCTCCCTGGTCGAGCACACGCTCGGCGACCCGGTCGACCGACCCTGCGTACTCCTCGTCGATTGTTCCCTCAGCATGCTCATCGGACATCTCCTTGTCCTCTTGGAACCGCCAATTCTTGGGTACATCGGCGGCCGTCAGTGAAGATGGACATTCGTTTTCGCCCCAGGGGCCCGTGGCGGACTGTACAGGCAGGGGTTCATTCGGTCAGCGGTGTGTCTCGCTGCGGTGAGTGACTCGAAACTATGGACTCGCCTTGAAAGTATCCTCCTCCCCCTCCTCTTTCTTTGTTCGGGCGCCGTATACGGTATCCATCCCTATACCTACCTCCTCGATGCCCTTAGCGCTGGATTGGGCGTTAGCCTCGCGTGCTTGTGCACTCGAGCCCTCGGCCACTTCATGCGCACCGGGTCTGGGGAGGATAGGCCGGAAATTGAAATCTGCAATACGAGCAAAGAATGCACTCCCGGACACTCCGCGCTGGTGAGTCGACCAGGTCTGTGACTTCAGTTTCCGAATGATTGCCTCGACGGCGTCTTCTGAGCGTTGCGGGCCCCGCATTTGTGTGTTTGTGGAGGGGAGGATTGACGGCTCAGGTGGGAGGGCAGATCGTCGCTGGTTGTTACCCCCTCCTCCTGTTCCGGCGCTGCGTTTTATCATCGCCTTGCGCAATGCGCTTCCGTGCGCTTGGTCGTTCAGCCATGTAGTCTTGGGCTGTCAGTGCTAGAGTTGGCAATGGGCGCCTTGTGTCGCGTAAGGGGATTGCATCAGTGAAAGCGGGCGGTTCTCTTACCCTCAAGTACAGCCTTTTGACGGGCCAATACAGCCCAATATCCACATGATGCGACCTCTTTGAATTCGGGGGCACTCATACAGACCCGATTCGCAGCTAGTATGAAGTACCCTCCCCAGTGCCACAAGCGCCACTTGAACCTCCCTGGGGAAGGCTCGTCGTGCAGACATCGAAGTTTGTCGTTGTCGCGAGTCGTTGGTCTGGCAGGGACACATCACGTTCACAGGCCGCAGATCACAGCGCTGCGAGATGGAGTGCAACAGTACATCAACAAATCATGGGCTACTCGCTACATAGTCTCGTACAAGATGATTTCACGACTTCCAAGGGCAGCAGGCTACGACTTCGACTCCGGCTCCGACGCCTTCCTGAACTTGCCCTGCATCCACACCCTGTACATCTTCAGCTGCCGTTTCCGGTTCACGATGAGCCTGCGATCGACGCCCAGCTGTTCGATCGAGAAAAGTGGATGCGAGCCGTTCGTTGTAGATGGTTGCGCGAGGGTGGGATGCACCGCACCGGCTTTTTGTGGTGTATCTTCCGAGGTGCCGACCGAGAGGGATGAGAGCGATTCTTCGACGTCGGCGAGGGTAGGTGTTGATTGGCCGGGAGATTGTGGCTGAGATATTCCAGGCGCTGAACGGGTGCTGGGGTCTGAATCCGAGGGGTCGTCGGCTTCCTCTACTACCTGGATCGCGGTGCTCGTCTTCGACGCTGCAGGGGCAGGAGACCCGGTGAACAGCAATGCGAGCTCGTCTACACATCGATCAGCTGGAGGATATAGATAGAGCACGATCATGGAGTTACCGAGTTCGAAGAAATACACGCGCGTCTTGTCGCCACGGATGTAGAAGTTGTCGTCGAGGAGGCGGCCGCCCTTGAACCGGAGTTGTGTCAGGTCATAACGGCCGTAGTCGCGCATGAGGACGAGTCCGCCCGGCTTGAGAAGCTGAGTGCGCTGTTAGCACTTGAAGTGAGGCTGCGCAGCGGAAAAAAGGGACCTTGTGTATGTTGGACACCGCGTTCGCCCACTCTTTTGGGTGTAGCGCGCTCATGACAAACACGAGCGTCAGGATATCAACGCTTCCGGGCTCCAGTCCTGGAGGGAGAGTGGGGGATGTCAGATCCCAGACTGCGGCTTCGATCGTGCCGAGAGGTGGCGAGAGGTATAAGGGGTTGTTCTGTGGCTCGATCGGAAGATGCTGTGGTGAAAGATAGATGGATGCATACCTGAACGAGTTTGACGGCGTGTGAGGAATAGTCATACGCTTTTAGGTGTAGATGGGGATTTTCGTTGGCGGCCAGCAACGGGAACACTGCGTTGCCTGCGCCTATGCACATGGACGGCCATCAGTTTGACCGGGACAGACACCAAGAAGCCGGAAGTGGACTGACCACAGCCGACTTCCGCGATGACCATTGGCCCTGCCTGAAGCCCATCAGCACACATGGCGGTCTCGGGTATGTATAGTGAACTTTACATGAGCTTCTGCGGCAGCCTTCAGCTCTGGGAACTCTAGATGCAACCTATGCGATGCCTGTCAGTGATCTCGTAGTTCACGGTATAGTCCATTTCACCCACCATTTTCTGTTCCGGAAAAAGTTGCTAGCATTCGCCTTATAAAATTCATCCCTATTACTATGTTAGAGTGGATCGCAAAGAGCACGCCCAATAGCTAACCAATGTCTCGCTGGTTTGTCATTGTACTTGGGCTTCTCTTCGTCGGGCACAGGTGCGCTTTTCTGTCTGTTTAGTGCAGCAGAAATGACTTCGTCCTGATCTGTCGGGGGCGGTACGTGATCCCAAGCATTCTGGCTCCATACGTCTGCCTCGTTTGTCAGGAATCTGGGCAGGGGTGTGTTATGTAAATCATCCCAAAATACGTGCGCGCAGTCGAACCACTGACCGTGAGCCAAACGGTGGCTTTTCGGCGGATACGTCGTGCACGGACGAGGCGGTCTTGGGAATGCGCGTTTTAGGGGACGTTTCCTCGGCGTGTCCTCCAGCAGCGGACATGTTCCTGCTGGGTACCGCTATGTTGGAGATTGAAAGGATGGGAGATGTCGCTCGCGTGGCGGGCTGATCTTGGAATTGCCGGAGGGGGAGATTCCCCGGATGCCATATACGGCACGCGTGCGGGCTGGGTGATCAGAGCCGCGCAGCCGCCCGAGTCGATACTTGCTCACGACTTGGTCCTCACCGCCAAATCCTGTCACGACATTCCCCGCTTCCCATGTCGGCCTGAACGACGCCTGGCGCATCCCTGACCCCGGATAATGTCTTCTGTTGCCGCAATGTCCCAGCTGCCCCCTGGCGACGAAGATCTCGCTCAGCTCTACCACCAAGTCCTGGCTGGCTTTGCGGAAGAGTCCCCCACTTCCGAGCAATCACTGCACAGTATTCCCCACCACGCAGATCGTGAGGTCGACTCCATCTACAGTCAGTATCACGACGGAGAAGCGACCCCTACGGCGAATCGACTGCAGCCATCGGCTCGGTCGGTTACGGCCTCCCACTGTGCGTCTGTCCTTTGCACTGCCAGTGTGTTCTGATATTCAGCCCCGCCCAAGCTCCTCACTACGGGTTGCCTTCTTCTCCGCGTCCACCACCACCACCCTCTCTCCCGCCAGCACCTGGCCCGCCCACCCCAATAAGCAACCCTCAGTCCCCCACACAGCGGGCGCCCAGGCCGCTACCGCGTATTCCAGGAGCAGCTCCGCCGGTCCCGCCACCACCACCGCCAAACATGTATGGAGGAATGCCGGAACCGCATCCGTACCAGACGGATGATAGTGCGAGTCTGCGGCAGAAGCATTTCAGTTCCGAATCGTGCGTGTTATGGTTTCACCGGTCTTGTTGGCACCACTGATGCCGATCCTCGTGCAGCGGAAGGCGGCTCCCTCCTACACCAGGTGAAGTCGCAGCAAATGGCGCGTCTAACGGGTACCATGGAGCAGTCAACCCTCCACCGAATTCTGCTATGCTTGGTAGACTGTCCTCGCTGAACGGTTCCGAGTCTCGCCCTGGCTCCGCTGGAAACCGACCGGGCTCCTCGGACAGCTCCTACCGAACGCAGTACAACATGCCTGTGCCCGAGGCAAGCGATGCATACAGTTGGCGTCAACCAGCGGCCAATGATCTACGCCGACCCCCTGCCGGTGCGCTGCCGCCACAAGTACCTGGCTATACTAGCATCCACGAGGACGAGCGTCCGCCGAGCTCGCCGTCAGATGGGTATTCTACGCGCCCTGGGTTGCGACCCTACTCTCCTTCACAGCACTCTACATCTTCGTATGGAGCTGCTCCTCAGATACCGTACAGCCACAGCTGTACGTGACCTGCCCTGGTTCCCCGGAATTTCTACTGACTCTGCGTTTAGATCCACAAACCGCTCCAGACTTGGGCAGGTCCACATCTACTGGCTCCGTCGGTTCATTCCAGAACGGCAACGGCCTCGATCGCAACTCATCTTTCATGACTCGCACTACACTATCATCTACCTACCCCGAGAGCGACGCGGCCGTTCGGCCGAGCTCATCACTTGCGACTTCAGTTGACCGCGGAAATTCCACGGGCTCGTACATCTCCAAGAGCTCGGATGGTGGCTGGTCCACCACCTCACCGCCATCTATAGCTCCCACGTTTCAGCAGCCACCTTCGCAACAATCGTACTATTACCAGCCGGCACAGGACATGTACAGCGCGCCCTCTTCTCAGGGCCCCGGTGCTTCGTCTAGCTCGACATGGCGCGACCCCGATCTGGTGCGGACAGTCCAGGACATCAAGCGCCCACTGGAACTGCACGAGAACTTCGTCGATGAGGAGGATGACTTCTACGACGAAGACCCCTCTGAGGATGGCGACGACAGGTTCTTCAACCCCGCATTGCTCAGCCACATCGCGGTACGCTTGAGGGACAAGGTCCCACGTGGGACCCATGTGAAGGGCAGCATACCGTATCCTCGTGCTTTCACAGGCAAGGACGTTGTGGTATGTGTGCTTCGCATGCTATGCCGGGCACCGCTCACCTTGTTGTAGTCAACGATCCAGTCGCAAATCCAGCGCGAGCTCCTCTTGACCCATGGAATATCGACAAACGACCGAAGAGCGGCATTGCAGGTCGCCCGCAGTTTACAAAGCCAACTATTCTTCTACGAGGTCGAGTGGGGCGACCGCCCTCTGCAGGATGGCGTCGAAGACGTGTACATGTTCTGGGATGACCAAGAGGGCGGTTCTGACATGCGCATGGAGCGTGAGGAGCTGCCGACCGCGGTCATCACGCTTTTGACGCGCTGCTACGCGTCTAGTTGTGACGACGAGAATCCATGTTACTCGTTCACATGCCCGCGGCGAGTACGTCTTTCGTGATATTCTCATACGTTAACGTCTGATCCCAAGCCCTGCAGAGAGGTGCGCTCCCACAACTCAGCCCCTCGGAGAAGGAGGAGGAAGAGGACAAGGTACGCTTTATTGCATGGTATGACACTCCCCGAGTTGATATGTACGGGATGTGCAGGATGAGTGGACTCGGACAGTTCCTCGGGAACTGCTGGCAACCCTGCCGGACAGTGAGATCAACAGGCAAAAGTAAGCTTTACCAGATCGGCGTCCGCGACACGTCTGATGATTGGCGGCAGCATCATACACAAGCTCATCGTGAAGGAGAAGCAGTACCTTCGTGACCTCGACACCGTTGAGACGGTAAGGAATATTTCCTACGTACTCAAGCTGGCTGACGTCTGATGTTTTTTTCGATAGCTCTTCGTCCGGCCACTCCGTTCCGCCAACCCGCCCGTCATCAGGGCAAGTGAAATCGACGAGTTCATTGACGAGGTCTTTGGGAACATTCTGGATTTGCGGGAGTGCAATCGCCGCCTTCTAGAAATGATCAACGTCCGCCAGCGCGAGCAGTCGCCAGTCATTCAGGGCATCGGTGACATCTTCCTGGAGGCCGCGACTGAGTTCCGCGTGACATACCCTAACTACGTCGGAAATCTGCCCGTCGCGGAGAAGCGCATGAAGGATGAGTTGGACAAGAACGCAGAATTCAAGCGCTTCGTTGAGGTTGGTTTTACCCATAGAGCGTTAAATGAGTACACGCTAAATCTGGTCGTTAGCAATGTTCAAGGCACCCTGATGCCCACCGTCTCGACTTGAAGCACTTCCTCAGCAGGCCTTCTGAGCACCTACAGAAGTACCCTGTCGTGCTTGAAGCGATCTGCAACGAGACGACGGAGGGCAACCCGGACATTGACTTCCTCAAGGAGGCGATCGACGCAATCAAGAAGCTACAAGGCGTCGCCCAACTATGGACCTGGCAATCTGCGATGGGCAAGGGACCTTCCGGGAAACTGGATTGGCATAACCTTGTACCAGAGGAGGTCATCGCCAGCCTGTCGAAACAGGAGATCAAGCGTCAGAAGTAGGTCTGATTTCCGCGCGCGTGCCGCCCGGTTACTTACATCCATGTCAGCATCATCTTCGAGGTCATCAAGGGTGAAATGGACTACGTGCGCGACCTCGAGAACATCGAAGTGGTCAGTCATCGTTCATTGATCATCCAGCAAGCGGAGTTCCTGACTCGAACTAGATGTACGTTTCCCCGTTGCGCGAGATGGACCCACCCATCATCCCGCGGGACCGCCTCGAGCAGTTCATCCAAGAGGTCTTCCACAACTACGCCGAGCTGCACACCCACCACCGGCGGATGCTCAACAAGCTCCACGAGATTCAGCGTGAGGAGCATCCCGTCATTCGCAGCATCACCGCGGCGATCTACGACGCCGTGCTCAACTTCCGGGAGGCTTACATGGAGTACATCCCGAACTACCCGATTGCGGCGTACCGGATCGACGACGAGATCTCCAATAACCCGGCGTTCAAGAGCTTTGTGGATGTAGGTGCTGACGGCTTGACTCTTACGAGCTTTCACTCATCATGTGCGCTTAGCAATGTACGAGGCACCCGGATTCGCATCGACTCGACATGAAGAACTTCATCAATCGGCCCATTCCCCGTCTTCTGCGTTACGAACTGTTGCTCAAGAACATCCTCGATGAGACGCCAGAGGACCATGAGGATAAGGACTACATTCCGCAGGTCCTGGACGTGATCAAGTCGCTCGGTAAGGAGACAGAGCCCGGTGTTGTGTCTGCGAAGCAGAAGGTCGAAGTGTGGCGGTACAACTCGAACCTTGTCTTCAAGAGCGGCGAAGTGATCGTAAGTGTCCTTACTTCTCGGTGGTTTGGAAACAAACTCATTCCTTGCACCAGGATATGGACTTGCTCCACGAGAACCGATCCTTGATACATACCGGCAAGCTTCTACGTCAGCCCGATACCGGCTTCGAATGGAACGGATGGACGGAGCTCTTCGTTCTGCTTTTCGACAACTACCGTAAGTCACCTTCCAGACTTCCGTGTTTCAAAACTGAACGTCGGCTGTAGTGGTCATGACTAAGCCAAAGGATAGGGATGGTACTACCAAGTACCACGTATACAGACGAGTGAGTTCCAACTGTACGCCCCGTGATCATTTCTGACGATACTGCTCAGCCCATTCCTTTGGACTTGTTGACGTTGGCGAACTTCACCGATCCTGCCACGCAACGCGGAAACAGCATCCTCCGACTTGGCCGGTCCGAGCGTCACGCCGGCGACGCCGTGGCCCCCGGAGGCATGCAGCAGTCCCCCGATTCCGCTACCGACTCGCGGCTCGTGTACCCGTGCACAATCCATCACAACGGACGGCTCGGTGGGCTGTACACCGTGTTCGCGGAGTCGTCGCAGGTGCGGAACGAGTGGAAGCAGAAGCTCGAGGAGGCGATCGGGCTGCGCAAGGTCGTGCAAGACTCGAACAAGGTGTTCGAGATCGAGACTCTCAGCGCGGACACGTTCCTTGTCCCCGCGATGGGCCCGAGCTCGGGCAACACGTCGTGGAACCACGAGAACGCGTTCACTGGCAAGGTTACTTGCTCTGTACCCTTCAGTGAGTGTTCTTTGTCGCAGTAGTGGTGTGCGCGTACTAACGGCGGGATAGCTACTGCCGATGGTCGCGGGCTTGTTGCGATCGGGTGTGCCGAAGGCGTTTGGATTGGGTTCCGTCACGACTCGCGGTGTAAGTGCCCTACATGCGATCGAAGAGGCAGAGTTTCTGATATTGGAGACAGCATTGCGCCGTGTGCTTCATCTCAAGATGGTGACACAGTGCGCCATGTTGGAAGACTTCGGTATCTTCCTGGTGCTCGCGGACAAGGTCAGTTGCACTCAACGGGCACACTGTCCTCCACGCTCACGTGTGCTGCGCAGTCGCTATTTGCATACCATATCGAGGCCTTGGTCCCGTCGTCACCACAAAGCGCGCATACCTCACAGACGCCGCAGAAGCTCAGTGGAAACAAAGACGTACACTTCTTCAGCGTTGGCAACCTGAACGGACGCACGCTCGTTATTTACATGAAGAAGAAAGGAGTGAGTTCGGTACTTCGCGGCCATCCATTTTGCGCGTGCTGACGGTCCCTTATAGCTGGACAGCGTCTTCCGTGTGCTTGAACCAGTCGTCGGAAAGATCAATGAGCGGACGGACGCGCCGCGGACCTTCGGCTCCAGGTTAGGCTTGCGCTCACAACGTTCTGAATGGTTCCGCGTGTACAGGGTCAGTATCGTCTAATTTTGTCAAACACCGCTGTTATTGACGCTGTACTTCAGGACTTCTTCCTTCCGTCGGAGGCGTTCGACTTGATCTTCTTGAAGGCGAAGATCGTCATCCTGTGCACGAAGGGTTTCGAGATCATGGATCTTACCGAGTACGTTACCGTTTCGTTGAGCTAATGCCCTCAGCGGCTGACCCCCTATACAGCTTCAAGTCCGTCACGATTCCCCAACGCGACGATCCTCGACTCGAGAAGTTGGCGAAGCGGTGCGAGTCATGTCGGCCAATGGGCATGTTCCGCTCGAGTAACGACGAGTTCTTGCTCTGTTATGACGGTATGAAAAATATCCTCATCTCCGCCGACCTGCTTCTGACAGTCTTAATGCGCAGAGTTTGGCTTGTATGTCGACCGCCACGGAGACCCCAGCCGGTCGATCGGGACGATCGAGTGGGAAGGCACAGCAGAGCATGTCGCTTGGCACCCGCCATACGTGCTCCTCTTCGACTCGCGTTTCATCGAGATCCGGCACGTCGAGACCGGGCGGCTCGCGCAGATCATCCCGGGCAACGATGTGCGCTGTATCTGGGACGGGCGCGGGGTTACGGGCGTGCCGCAAACGCCGGCCGCGCAGGAGGGGTACGGGCAGGAGATGATCTCGCAGGAACCGCGCGTGCACGGGGTGATGAACCTTGCGGACGCGGCGGCGCCGCTAGGCCCGAACACACGCGCGGGGCGGCCAATCGCGCAGCACGTCTTCGAGCTCATCCCGACGATCCCGTTATACCTGCCTGGGTCGCTCGCGTCGCCGTCGCAGTCGACGACATACTTTTCGCAGAACAACTCGCCGCCGCACTCGCCACGGTTGAACCCGGCGCTGTCGTGGCGCTCGTGAGCGGACGGGTCGCTGTGCATGCCTTTTCTGCCATTTCTCGCGCATGCATGCGGGTCCGTTGGACCTTGGAGTTGTTGCAGATGGCAGGGGTGAGGGCAACATGGATTATATATGAGCTTAGATTTTTTGTAATCGTATCTTTCGCATCGCAATGTATTCGCGCTTTCTGCCGTATTCTGGTATAGCTCAAGATTTTATTCATGAAACGAAGCAGTTAGCTAACTCGCTCTGTACCGTGCTTTGAGCTTCTATTCAAACGAGTCAATCGTACACAGGCAGAAATGTCATGGCGGTAAAGTGATGTTCTGTACAGTCAACAGGAGGGCTCTGACAGCTCGAAGATGTTTTCTAGTAGTATGACATGGCTAAGGACTATCGAGATATGGCACGCTTGTGGCACGCCGCATTTTAACAGTAGCATACGAGCCTTAAAACCATTCAAATCATCGGCCGTAAGGCCACCCACAGGCAAGCGAGCTCGCAAAACACCGAGTCATCCATACATAAGTTCTGTCTTCCGCTGCCTCGTCGAAGTTCCAGCCGATAAATAACGTGGAATATCGCCTGACGATGTCGCATAATCCCTTTCCGTGGAAACGTATGATCATCCTCAAACACTGGAACGAGGAACGGTAATGAGCGGAGCGATCCCGGCGCACGCGGCTGAACAACGTACCTTTCGAACTTGGTCCGCGCGGAGGAGTCGTCCACTGCAGCGTCCTAGCAAGGCAGTCCCGCAGCGCGTGCGTCAGAGAGCTCGATAGTGGACGTGTAAAACAACTGCGCGGTACTCACGGAGCTCACGAGCCTATTCACGTCAATGCGCACTTCGCGGTGGCCTACCGGGTATTCCTGCGTCCCGTTGGTGCTGCCGCTGCGAGCGATGTGCATAGAGGGCATCCGGATGGCCTCGTGGTCAGACGCCCCTTGGCCGTTGCCGAGCACGTATGCACGGCTGTTCAACCTATGGTACAAGGCCCAGGACGGCAGAGTGCCAGAGTGCAAGGTCAGTGGTGATGTGCTCGCGGCTATCGCTGATTGGACATACGATGTCAGAATAGCGTTTGCATACACTACAAGGCTGCGTTCAGCGATGGTTTAGGGGCGAGGGATGAGTAGGCCGCCACGTACGTTTTCCGAGCAGGAAGTTGAAGAAGAGAACGTAGAGGTTGTTGTGCGCGGTGAGATACTGCCACGACGCTCAGCTGATGAAGTCTCTTGGGATGCCATAGAAGACGGCCTGCGACTCACCGCGATGAGGTCCACAAAGTTCGTAAGCCTGGAATGGAACGGGTAGTTACTTGTAAGCAACAGAATGGACAACTGAGCACCGTGATCGTCGTTTACGTAGTCAGCATGCCGGTCGTGATAGTGAGCGCGATGAGCTTGGTGACGATATCGTCCGACCTGGTGGTTATCGGGGAGCGGTGAGCTGTGCAGCCGTAGATGGTACTTGTAAGTAGACGGGACTCGCACCTTCGGACACCCGAGCGGCGAGTGTGCAGGTAATATGCCAGCGAAAACGAGAGTGTCACTTCGGTGGCGACGGCAGTACACAGTGCGGCGATGCCATAGGGCTATGGGTGTTTCGGACGTGAAAGGTCAGCAGCGGTACAGCGTGCACTGATGGCAGGCGAGCAGACCTACCCGCAAGGATACTTCCTCTTGGAACAGGTTGGTATACTGGTACCTAATGCCAACAATTCACATTGACTCCGTGTCAGAAGTGGTACATTTCGGAGCTTACGCTTGACTGCCGTATGCTTGATTGAGACGTAGGTAAGGTCTAATACCTCGACGACCGGTCCATAACTATGATAGACTTACATATGTTCGTTCCTGGTATTTAGTCCATCAGCTTGCGCGGCCCTGATCTTGTATGTACCGAACAAGATAGTACGCACCAAAGCTTGCGATCGTCAATGTCGCCTCCGAGATACGTTAGCCTTCAGATACAGGTACAAAATGAGGGGTGCAGCATTCACCCCAAATGCAGTGAGGGAGTATAGACGGCTCACTACGAAGACGCGCATCATGTCAGCGCCAGGAGCGTATCGCTTGAAGAGATACGCAACATACCACACCACAGACGAAATGTTAAAAATCTAATCAAACAGCGCTTAGTTGAAGAATAAGGGTTTACACATGACAACCATGACTTGCACATTGAGGATGAGGGCTAAGAGGCCCTGCATTGGGATGATGAGCGCGTTGACACGAGGGAGCGTCACGAGCGGAAACTCACGTTGAACACAACCTCGGTCTGAGCAAATGCGGCGATCACAGTAGGAGTACTCTTGAGCTGACCGGTCTGATATATATACGTCGCGCTTACCGGGACGCTCCTGCAGGTTATCCTCAACGTCAAGACGGATAGAATGTCGAGCGATGTAGAAGAGGAGTACACACCACACCGAGTCCACCACGGCAAGCGGGTTTGCGAAGTCGAGCACAAGGTAATTGTATACGATGTGAATCACCACTGCTTGGTGTGTGGTGTCGAGAACGCTGCAGTCAAGTGAGTCAGTACAGCGCGGGGGGCGGGATTTGGCTGAGAGGACCTACAGCAAAACAGCCACCTGTAAATTTGAGACGGTATCGTTAAACTTAGGTACCACTGCACCCCACGAGGCAGATCAGACTATGCTCACCAATGTGTACAGCCAGTAGCTGTCGCTCTTTGCCTTTTCCGAGCGGTAATAGGTGAACGTTTGAAGACAAGTTACCCCATACATCCTAACTCTGTGTTAGTGTTTGTCTTTCCGGGCCACACGAGAGCAGGGGACTCACATGGATGAGACGCAGGCACCCAAAAGGATAACTCCTAGAGTACCCCCAAGACTGATATCTTGGAATATTGCGGTGGCCATCCTGTATGATGTACCCGGGAGGAGTGATTTGGAAAGAGGTACCGGAGCACAAAGAGCGTGCCTACTAGTACTGATAGCAGCGTTATAATGTATGCCCGCAGCTGAGATGCATGTAAAGTTTGATTCTTCCGCTGGGCTCCTATGTCACTCTCAAACTTCCTTTCTACACAGTTGTGCGACAAGAGAGGTTTTAGAAGTTGCGATGCATCTGTTCATCATGTCAACTGTCACTGGCACTGGTTGAGTTCGCAGTTGGAGAATTCGGGGGAGCACCGGGGCCTAGTGTGCGAGTGTGCGAGTGTTTCAGCTGAACACGAAAGCGCGATGGAAAGCGCGATGGGTACTTACAATGACCGGAGACTTACGAGAAAGACAGCTGAGGAAGGTCCGAACTACTAACCGGCAAACTTGGAAACGAGCGCTTAGTGAGCTTCCGGAGCGGGCACACTCGGGCACAGCTCTTCGCGATCGACTCTCCTTCATGCTACGACTGTCTTCCGCCTCCGAATGTGAGGCTGGTTTACGAGCCTACTTCATGCATCGACTCACGTTCGCGTTCTCCACCATCTCCCATCGTCTCAGCTGTCCGCGGCCTGTGATTCTGCCTCTTTAAGTCTCGCTGCCCTCGTCGCCTCGCCCGTACTTTGCTGTACAGATTATCGGAGCCTGAGGTATTTACCGGCGAGGCTCGTGCGAGCGACGCAGCGTTGCTTTTGCTGTCAACATGTTGTTGTAGGACTTCTCCTGTCGCAGGTGTTCGGCTTGATGTTCTTGATAGCGAAGATCGTCATCCGACGCACGAAGAGATTCACGATCATGGACCTCATCTAGTAAGCTCCCGTCCTAGTTGACAACTGACATCAATGGTTGACTGTCGCTATATTTTTCAAAGGTGTTGCGACTCCATAACGCGACGATTCTCGACTCGAGAAGTTGGCGAAGCAGTGCGAGTCATGTCGACCAATGAGCACGTTCCGCTCGAGCAACGTGGTCAAGTTCTTGCTGCATTATGACGGTCTGAGTATGTTATTATCGCCGCCGACCTGCTTCTGATAACATCTATGTAATATATAGAGTTCGCGCCTTCTATGACCGCCACGGATATCCCGCCGGTCGATCGGGACGATCGAGAGGCAAGGCATAGCATAGCACGTCGCCTGGCACGCGCCATACGTGCACCTGTTCGACTCGCGCTTCTTCGAGATCCGGCACGTCGAGACTGGGCGGCTCGCGCAGGTCACCCCGGGCAGCGATGTCAGCCGCATCTGGGTCTTAGGACGGGCGCAGGGTTGACCGGCGTGCTGCAGATGCGGTCTGCCCTGGAGGGCTAACCGCCTGCCAGATTATGGTACTGCGGGCCGATGCCTTTTTGCAGGACGCATTACGCAAAACGTCGCCGCAGCACCACGACATTAGCGCACTGACGTTGAATGCTATCAGCCTGTAGCGCGTCTCCGGCAGGAGGTGTGGGTACGTCATATTCACTCAACGCATACAGGTTCAAGCTTTCAAGAAGCATAGCCTCGATCGGAGATGTGTGTTCGTACCCCAGGGCTCCGCGAGGAATTCGTGCTAGGACCGGGGGTCATCGCGATTTGCAGCCCCAGAGCTCCGCCGGACCACTCGGGAGTCGGGACCGGTGGCAAATGTGCGAACGTGTGTGGTTCTCTTGACTTGTACACCATGTGGACACTCACCGCGCTCTCATTCGTGACACAGCGCAAAGAGCTCAGGTAGCCTCTCAAATATCATGACAAGTATCCCGATGAGTCCAGCTGCGCGGCAGTCCCGCAGTGCTGCGGCGGGGTGGGCGCGCGGGGCCATATGCAACGAAGCACTGATATACCCGGATGCCGGCGTCTTCATAGATGACCGAAGCCCCAGGAGCTTGTAGCGATATGGTGCGTCCGCCTCGATGCACGGTGCGGGCGGCTCCGGTAGCAGGTGTCGGAGCGCGCGCAGGTTCCCCAAAGTCCACATGCGGAAGCTGTATCAGTACCGCAGCAACCTGCGTGCCCCCAAGATGAGATATTCAGCGATACATAAAACGAATGGCTTTTGTATTGAGGTCCTGTGCTGACCCCCGAGGAGAAGCCCTCGGCTGGGCGGCCACATAAAAGGTGCAGCCCATCTCTGTTCCTGCCCCCACTCACGCCGCTTGCTCAGCGATGCCTCTTCTGCCTAGTGGCTTCGTGCTCTACACTCAGGCTCGAGAGGACTCCATGGCCGCGCACGACTCGACCTACGATATCGCCATGTTGGTCATGGCTGTCGTCGGCGCACTTCACGACGTCTGCCACTTCATCCTCTGGCTGACTCTACACACGACCATTTGGCAGAGGTCCGTACCCGTCCTATCATCCTATGAATGCTGGGAGACTGACAATCATTCTGTATAGCGTTGTGAATCGTGCCCCAGACCTTTGGAAGCAGCTGACTGGTGCGCTGCGTGGAGCATTCGAGGTACGCAGAATTTCGTCTTGTGAGGAGGAGCTACATTAATACCGACATTATAGATCGTCGTTGGCATTATCTTCGGCCTGCCTGACACCTTGAAGTCCTGGTCGCGCGGATTGTTTGCGGCTGCCGTCGGTCGGCTCCGTATTAACAAGACGGCTGGTGCCCAGGCCGCCGGTGTCGATGCAGAACGCGGTCCCGCCGGCGACATTGGCATGCTGTAGTTAGAGGTGAGAAGCATTCCAGTCAATGTCTTCAGTATGCTGATTGTAGGCGTTGGCATTGAATGCCGCGGCCGCGGAATGGATCTCGCAGGACACCTCGGGTAAGCACTCCTCCCATCCGCCGGCGTTGTATGGCTCACTCATTGATTTGTTCTGTAGTGAAGGGGGTCGCCGGCGGCCAGTTGAGTCAAAGTGGTCGGATGGCGACGAGAGTTGAGCGGGTGGATGAGGAGTGATCGGACATGTCGGAGTCGAGATGAGGAGGAACGCGCTCGTCATGCTGCTGGGGGGTACTGCGGACCCGGCAGGATGTCGCCGGGAACATGGGTATATGTGTTTGGGTTTTTGTATTCGTACTTTCGCGTGGCGATGTATTTTTGTATCCCCACAGTGTACAGTGTTCAAGGAATATCGCGGTTGTCACAGCTGTTATCAGAACGATAGGCCCCCTCCGAAAAAGTCGCAGAGAGCGGTCTGAGCGGAGTACCAAATGGATGACAAATCCGGTGGCGCGGCGCAGGGCAGACCGCGCGCCTGCAGCGCTCGCTCTTGCTGGTCAACCACTCGCTGCTCGTCGCTCACCGCTCACTAGTCACTGCTCACCGCTCGTCGCCCACCATACGATGTCATATACCCAGGCAAGTCCACAATATCGATCTCAACATGTCGCGTTGTGACTGTAAAGAGGCTATATGGCGATGTGGCGGCCGCCCATCTTACACCTCCTTCGCTCACCACGCCACGACCCATTTCCATCGCCCCTCTTGCCAAATCTCCCGCGCGCACAACCCGACAT